TGAAAAATATTGTTTTGTCTCATGAACTGGAAATGTTTCCAAGTTGGCCATTTCATCCTAAATAGTGACAGTCAGCTTTTACAGTTTAATGAACAGACCCCTAAATGTGCTTATAACCTACAAGCAACACAGTTTCATACCAGTTTCAAGCTTTGCCTTGCTGTGCCAAATGCTTCTAAAATCATGATGTAATGATGTCCTTTAACTGGAGTTTTGGAATTCTCAAGGAGAACTATAAATGCCCTTTTGTGTAGAATGTATGCCATGGGCCTCAAGCCGTAAAGCCTACTTCCTAAAGATAACACCATTTGAATGTGAGCCGTTCCCTCATCAATTTTTTGCTCAGGTAAGTCAAACACTTTTTATCTGCTACTTAGATTTTTTGCTTACCCATTGCACAGCACTAAATAATATGTTGATGTTTTTTAAATCATAATAAAAGTATAGAGCCATAAATCAAAAAATTACAAAGAGGACTATAGGGATGTCAGCCATGTTAGTTCAGGGTTCGTTTTATGACATCATAATGCATGCAGTGTAATGGGGTGTGGGTGGTTTAAAGAAGTAAATCTTTACCTATACCATTGAGGGCAATTGGTTAAATGTTCAGGTAATAGTGAAATTGCTTAGAGAACCAAACAGCCCTCATTAGGAAAAGGTCAGAATAAGGCAGTAGTGAAACTAGTGAACAAAGGGCCCTGGTGCACGATTGCCTTTGGCCCCATAATGCTCCAGACAATTAATCTCTATTTCCATAAAACTGTCCTCACTTCCCACTGCCAAATAACCCTACATCCCCATGCCAGTTCACTCTCCTGTCACTCTCTCCCTACCCAACTGAGACAGCCATAGTTCACTGACAATTAACCCTGCCCATTATCGAGTTTGCCACATTTTCCTGCCAACTAACCATCTCCATTTGTGGGTTAGATTGGAACAGTCCCTTACCAATTAGCCCCCACCCTCCTCTAAATAGGTGGTCATATCCCTTTTTCAGTTAACCCCTACCTTGCCCCCAACAGATCTGCTCATTGTCTTTGCTATCCACACACTGCGGAAGGGCCCTATACTGACTGCTAAAGTGTTGGGATCTGTCATATTTCTGCCTTCACTGCCTGGGAGACCTCTTGGCCCCTGACTGAACAGATCCAACTGGTGACAGTAGGGCACTTTCCAGTGATAAAAAAGCACGCACAAAATGCACACACCAAGCAGCAAACAGACACACATTCACACATCAAGCAGCTTCAAGACACACTCCATGCATCCACATTCCAAGTAGTACACGGAGATATACTGTTGGCAGGCACCCTCCATGCAGTTCACAGACACACCCCAATCAATGCAGTTCAGACACATCCATGCAGTACACAGACAGACTCCATAAAGTATATATGAAAGCAGAAAACCTGGACACACATAGTCCAGCTACCACTATCACTTCCTGAATAGGCTCTGCCTTTGAACTATTACAACATGTGCCCAAGTTTTCTGTTTTCATTTGGATTGCTGGGAACTAACCACTCCCTACTTTGGTGCACCGTGGTTCTACGTATCCTGGCACTGAGCATGTGCAGCCCCATTTTGGCATACTAATCCATGAAGTACACAGACACACTCCATGAAGTATACAGACACCCTCCATAAGGTTTACTGGCACACCTCATGCAGTTCACAGACACACCACGTTCTTCCCAGACAGACATCAAGCCCCAATCCTCCTCCATTTCATTTGAGTTTTCACACAGGTTGACTCATTCAGCCACCACAGTGGAGGGTTCCTCCCTGTGCTGCAGGCCTAAGGCTACACCCAGAGCAGGATGAAGAAATTGCTTCCTCCATCATTCCATGAGGAAAGCAGTCTGCATGTTGGAGTGAGAAAGGGCAAGGCTAGATGGCAGATGGAGGCAGCAACTGACTCAGAATCCATTGCTTCCTGCCACTTATGGGACCTTGCCTGATAGTAACAGGAAACCTGTATGCACATTCATCTCATCACTTCAGCTCAACTCTGCTGGGGCCCTTACTGCTCTTCCTCCCACGATGGGTAGCCAAGAGTGGGCCCCAGTGCCAGTGTATCTACTGTACTTGCAGTAGTTCCACACCGGGAACATGATATTTTAGGGATGTCTAGTGTTATTTTTACATCTCAAACTAAACAAAAATAAATAGTTTTTATAGAAATTCTATTTCTTTTATTTAAGTATAATTTTTTTTTTTTTATGTTCTTTATTTTAATAGACATTCTTAACGTACGTGGGTGAACAAGCAGCAATTTGCAGTGTTCCAAGGGTGGACAAAAGGTTTGAAGCAGACAATGACTTTGGTACAGTTGACATTTGTCCGTTCATCTTGAGGCAGAGAGAATAGGTTGTGGAGGAATGGACAGTTCAAATGGCCATGCTGGGGTTAGAAGTATAGCTTTTAAAACAGAGCCTGCAAAAAGAAGTTATCATTTTACAGTTAACATAACCATTTCTTTAAGCCTTGCCTGCCTGCATTTAGACAGCTGCATACACTTACTATACTCACAAACACAATACATTACAAGCAGAGCAGAAATATGCACATACATACATTTATACATATACAGGTGCCAAGTATGAAGACGTCTTTTTTTAGATGATTTTAGGCCTGCAATCTCCAGTTAATAAATGCATTAGCTAACTTTATCTGCCTTTTTGGCATTGGGGAGCATGGGTCCCCTTAGAATGTTGTGTCTATAGGCTCCTGACATGTAACTTGGAGACTTTTCCTAGTGTGGCTATTTTAGCCTTCAATTTGAAACTCGACTGAAGAATTAACCTTTATACTAGATTTATTTTTACATACTGCTTTGCTATCTTTCTTTTAGAAAACGGAATCTAGAGTTATATGATTAATTATGTAGCCAAGTTTAAATTGTGATCATGATAGAATTAGATTTTGAATACTTATGGAAATAGCCCTATGTTGCCTAGTCCCTTAGGTTATAAACGTTAATACTCTATCATACTTCTATATAGTAGCGTGCCATAGCTATCTGACCTTGCAGATGTCACTGGTAACAACTTTAAAAAAGAGCAAGTCATCCAAAATGAACAATTTAGTCTATGTTGTTGTTGGCTTCTAAGGAAATCGGCATAATTCATAGTTGCCAACAGATATGTTTTTCTTGAAACAGTCCCAACATTTGGGCTCATTTATCTGCAAAAATAGGTTCTGGTATCTGTCCCAAATTGGGTCAGCAGTTGCAGTTTGTGATTGGTATAACTATGCAACAGAAATCCCAACCTTAACAGCTGGGCTAAGTTCAGCGTTCCATGCTCCATGTAATGCTGGTCACAGAGGGGATATGTTGGAATGTGTTCATTAAAAGTTTTGCCAGTAACGAGATTGTGCCCATTTATGTCACTAACACGCTTTTGACGTTGCCCTGACCCTCTGCCTACCCACTCCTGGCTGTTCATAATTTATATGCCCATACCATTTTGTCTCAGGAAACATAAATGTGAAACTGGTTGCCCCATTATGTGTTCTCTCTGACAAAATGGTGTGGTGTGGTTTTTAGAAATAGAGGGTTTATTATGTTGGCCAATAAAGCTTTGCACTGTTTGCTTTTGTTTTTTGCATTTAATCAACATTTTCTGAAGTTATAAATAGTAATACTTCACTACAAATAATTAATATATTTTCTGGATTTTAAATTCTTTTTTTTTAATGCATGGTAATAGTAGGTTGCATATTTTACTCCTTCTCATTTTGTAGTTGCAACTGCAAGATGAAGCAAAGTAGAACAAATGTTACTAAATTTTCCAAGTGCTTATATGTAGACAGAGGGGAAATGTAAGTGCTCTAGAAAAGTGAATTATCCCAATCATGACATTTTTGTATGTGGCATTTAGAAAAACATACTGTAATACATTTTTTTTTTTAATTGACCATGCATTTTATAAACATGCTAAGATTTTTTTACATATATGTTTCCAAATAAGGGTTAACGAGAAACAAAGTGCACACAACTTGCTGACTTTATATGCTTTGTGGAGAAACCTCAGAGAAAATAGTAATAAATACTGTATATTACTGAATGCACTTAGAAAGTGCTACATTTCCTTCAGCACTGGACAGAAACAAACTCACAAGAGGCTCAGTGGAGAAGGGGTTAAATAGATTTTTATTGAGATTAGTCAGAACAGAAGCAATCCAAGTATTCCTGAAAGGTGGCAGTGATTGGCTGAAAGTCTCTAATTGTAATTGGTTTAAACCAACCACACCTATAGATTTCTGTCACCCAATCAACTATGCAAAGGAAATGAATTCCTATTGGTCTCCCTTTATTACACAGAATATGTTAATTTCCATTTTGGCTGAATTAAACCTCCACTCATGAAATGTGGGTGTTAACGTTCATGTAATAATCTAATTTAGTAAAAGCATCCAATACACAGGAGACTGGGGGAAAAAACTGTCCCATTCATTTAATAAGCATTTTCATTTTCTTCTTGATACTTGAATTAAAAAAATTCAAACCTAAAATAAATTAAAATGTAATAAAAATATATATATTTTTTTTAAATGTAATAAAAAATATAATATTGCTAATTTGACAGTAGCAATGCCATCGATTATATATTGTGCAATTATGTGCATAATGCTATTAATGATGTTTGATCACCACACATTACTTACCCGATACAGAGGAACAAGTTTGTATTTACAATGTATAAAGTCATCCACAGAATAAATATTGAGTAAATAAATTCAGCTTTGGACAGAGAGAGGTTCAGTAAAATTTATGACAGTAAAAGCAGATGTCCTTTGGATGATTTAAATAAATAAATAAATTAAAAAAAATATATATATACATAAAAATCTATCTATAGATATGTATATATCTTGGAGAATAAGATATCTATATCTTGGAGAATATGAAAAACTGTAAAAAAAATAAATCCCTCCCTTGCAGCACTTAGAGCCCAAAAGGGCAAGAGAGACATAGCTCCTATTGAACAGGACCACCTAGTCAGCCAGACATTAGTCTGAAAAGCAAATCATTCTTAATTCTTCTCTTTATAAGTATCTTTCTTAAATAAATATAACTGCATTTTAAAACTCTCTTCTGTCAATCCTCTATGCTTTACAACATTCTAAAATCGTTTAATGTCGTATAAAATGTATAGGACAGATACAAGTTTAACCCTTTCCTTGCAATACCCTTGTCACAGGATTAAATTAAAATTACTTTTTTTTTCTTCTTCACAAAGCTGTACATTCACACGTGAAAAGAGACTCTAAAGATTCTGACAGACTTGATAGGTAGATGGAAAGACAGGATAATTTTTTTTTTTTTTTAAATATCAAGGTTAAGTGGGGATGCCTGATATTTTGTATCTTAAGGTGATATGTTCCAAGATGCAAATATCTTTTGCTGCAGGGTATCAAGATAATTCCTTCATCCTTTAGAAAGCAGATGGAGAAGACAGATAAACAATAATAAAAATGACATGCGAGATTAGGTTTAAAGAAAATAAAAAGAAAAAAGAAAAAAAAAGTCTGGAAAATGTGTTCTGCAAAAAAAAACAAAAAGCAAAGGTTACAAGAAAATAGAAATCACACATACTGTGCCCTGAGCCTTTTTAAAAGTGTCCGGGAAGCAGTTGAGAAAGTTGGACAGATCCACATCCATTAACTCACAAGAGCCGTATGAACCTTGAAGACCCCTGAATATCCACTCTCATAGACTGAACTTTCTTGCTTACCAGAGCTCCCCAGCAAAAACTCCTCTGCAGACTCACTTTTGTATAAGAAACCTGCTTAAGCAAATTGATTTTTTTTTCTTGCTTCATACTAAATGGTGGTACTTTTTTTTTCCTTGACAGGGGGAATGAAAGAGTTTAGGTGATGGGTTGGGGGAGGGATGAGAGTGGGTAGGAGTGATTGGGACAGTGAGAGGGGAGGGAGAGAGGGGACAGAGAGTGGCAAGGAAGGCAGGGGAGACCCTAATGGGAAGGAGGGGTCTGCTGGAATGGATAGAGGGTAGAGAGGAGTGGATGGGGGCTCAGATTTCAGCTCTGCTGGGGGCAGGGGAGGACTAAGATGTGGGCATATACGTTGACTTGAAGGCACTCAGGAGTATAACTTCAGTACCTTGGCCCAGAGCAGATAGTACTAAGTTTCTGCTGGGGCCTGGTACTGGATTCTCCTTTTTTACCCCTGAAGTCGGCTGCATGAAGAGAAGATAACTTTTGGGCACAGCCAACTTCCTCCCTCCCTCCTCTTTACTTCTTCCCACAAGTTTTCTGCATGTCTAACATTTAGACATGTTCAGGTTTGTGGATTCAAGGACTCTAGTGCTCATTGCAGCCACCCAAGTCATATTATTAGCGGTTGTACGATGCCAAGATGAAGATATCCGTAAGTTGCATTTTTCTTCTAACGCTCTCACTATCTCTGTATATATAGTGTTTTATTTTTTTATTTTTATAAATATATAAATGTAATGCTTATCTCTCATTTTCAGTGGTTATTAGAACACCTGCAAACTTTTTTTTTTTTTTTTAAATGTACTTGCTGCTTTCCAGCAGTGAAAGGGGTTAATCCACCCAGATTTGTAAAGTGGGTTAATGCATTTAAAGGAATGAAATGACCTGCCAGTGATGTAAAAATGTGTTAATGTGGATACTGACAGCAGAGTCACATCTGTAAATGCTGCAGAAAAGCAATCTAGTCAAAGCACTTGCATCTTTGTAAACTTGGCAGCCACAGTGCAGAGTGCAGGCAGTCAGTGTGGTATTTAAATATGCTATTGTCTTCAGAAAAATGTGCTACTGTCCCAGAATAAAATGAACTGTTAAGAGTAGGTTGAGAGCTGCATTCTATTAGACAAACATTCTAACGTTTTAATGAAGCATGACTGTGTTACATAAACAGGATAGTTACATACTGATGATGCATATTGTGATTCATTTATTGTAGATCAAGGTCACCCAAGCACCTTAAATTGAAAGTCTACTTTTTGTTTACTTTTGTTGTTTATTTGTTTTTGTCAAGCTAATCCAATCCTTTGTGAGGCAGCTGAAATAACAATAAAATAGAATTTTAATGACAGTGGGCTGGTTTAGATGTTGAAATTCCTAGCCTTCCAGCAAGGGCTAAAAATTTCAAGACATGAAATAGGCTACTGTGTACACTTAGAGAAAGTACAGCCATTTACGTCTATTGATGGCACAAATAAGTATTTTTTTTTTTTTTTTAAATAACCTTTTGAGGGGGGAATTTGATTTTGCAAGAAAAACTTTTCTAACAGAGGCTTCAAGGTCAAATGCCTTTAAGGGAACCTCATTATAAACTACAAAAAAATCTTAAAATTGATGACCCTTCCAGAAAATATCATTTTTAGTTCAGCATTAATACATTACAAATGGCCATCCAATATACATTTTTAGAAATATAAAGAAAATAAAAGGAATATAGAAGCGTACTAAGTAGGCTAGTTTGTGTTGATATATTTATATTTTCATAGGTGTGAATGTGTGTATGCATCAAGAATAATCTGATTAATATTTTAATTAACCTGATTTTACTGCAATAGTAAAAAGTGTTTTTTTCAATTATATTAAACACTGGCAAAATATAGTGGAATATATGAGAAAACACCTGGCTCTTATGTAGGCTGGGCAGTTCCTCTAGATAATGCTGGAAGCTTTATTTCTTAGCAGAAATTTTTTAACTTGCTTGGACAAGTCCCCAATTGTATAAATTCCTCTCTGAACCTTTTTAAGTGTTCACATACTACAGATTGTAAATCCATTGAAAAAGTAGCAAGGAAAAGGTCCGCTTCTTTGAATCTCTGCCATTATATGTGTTGGAAGAGATATTCCATTCCAAAAAAGCAGCTCTAATTCTGAAATTCTCATCTGCAGAAATGGAATGTGTAAAATATTCAAAGACTGATCATTATAAAAGCATTTATAGACTAAACATTCTTGACTAGACGTATGCATACTTTTCTACTTCACACTTTTTGGAGAATTAGTAAAGATTGCCTAAATTGTCTTTAATTGAGTCAGAAATCAGATTTGCTTCAAATGTGCAAATGGTAGAGGCCTTGCGTGTTTTAAATGGGACCCATTTGTCCGATAAGTATCATCCTGTCTGGTGTTAGTAAACCACAGGAGATGAACCTTTTTCATGATGGGCGCTTGCACAGATTGGGTTAAAAATGGGTTAATTTTAATCTCACTGAATATTATATTAGTTGTTAGATAGGAAATTCTTTTAAACAACTGCTCTATGTTCTCCATAATATTGCTTTGAGGTGGATTAGGTATTTACACTGCTATATTTGTAAATTTGGTTAAAATCAACATTTGTGGCCTTGTTTAAAGGCCCCAATTGAGAATTGTGATGGTTTATTTGCACTAGGAGGATTGGCAGCAATGGTTTCCAGATGGAGTTGAAATGCTGCCCATATTTATTTAAACTGGCCCCTGACAGTGAAATGTGAATTGAGACCTCTGTTTATTCCACAAAAAGGGCCATTCATTAAGGGTCCTCTGGGCTACCCAACTACAAGCTTGGGACCCAAAGGGAGCTGTGCAGTCTAATGAGGACCTCTGCTTATAATGGATGCTATTTTATGCCAATATACTTTACATAAAATAATTTATTTTGTTTTTATTTATTATTATAATTTTTTTGTGACACAATTGTGAATGTTTCATTTTATTACATTATTCATCCATTCTTCATTTTATATTTTATTTCATTTTTTTTCTTCAAATAATTGTATTAACAGTAATTACTTAGTTTTTTTTTCCACAGCTTTCAAAACTAATCACACTAAACAATTAGCTTCATCAAGAAGAAGCTTATTCCAAAAGATTTGCTATAGCTACTGGATGACCTCAGAGAAACCCAACGTTATTATCCCGCCTTAGTTCATGTTATGATATTATATTACAACTTCCTAAAGTTCCAGCCAACATATATTAAGTTAAAACACCCTCCCTCTTACCTTCACCAATGTAGTCCCTACAATACTCCAATGTCTCAACTTATATCCCCTTCATCTCTTTGGTTCAACACTGCCCTCATCTGGAGATGTATAATAATGCATTTTATTACATGGTAAATAATATGCATAATCTTAATATTATATAGAATAAAATAATTTTGTATGCTAATTTCAGTCTCTCATCTTATTTTTTGAATATTAAGCATAGCTTCGATCCCAACACCATTAAAAATGTGTGATAGATAGAGATGATATTTTAAAAAAATGTTTTTGAAATATGTTGAAAATAGCAGATTTTTATAATAATATTTCATAAATGTGTTTTGTTTTTTCTTATTTCCCTGCTTCATCTCTTTTGCTGCTTCCAACTTCCTTTTTTAACTCCTTTACCACTTGGTACAGTGGACGTAGGGAGCTGCGTACAGGATGGGCAGAGATATAGTGATAAAGATGTTTGGAAGCCAGAACCCTGCCAGATCTGTGTTTGTGACACAGGGAATATTCTCTGCGATGAAATAATCTGCGAGGAAAATAAAGACTGCCCCAATGCTGAGATCCCCTTCGGAGAATGCTGCCCCATCTGCCCAACCGAGCAGTCTTCCGCTTCCAGTGATCGTAATTTATTTATTTCTGATCTATAAATAAATTACTTCAGCATGCCTATGGATAATCTACCTTCCTCTAACAGATAGATCATCCATGGGTCTCTGCTGCAATTAAAAAGGTTGCCTTGTATAATGCCTTATATAATTTTCTCCATATAGTGCTTTGGACCACATTACATCCATTTTGAGATAAATATACGTGAGATCAAAGTCTTGGTAGCTCCTGCTTAAGTATAGAGTCAAAGGAGTAGAGCAAGGATCTATATATATATTTTTAGCGTTGTGGTTGAAGTCTCACAACTAATCTTTAGTGGTTTCTGGTTTGGCAGGCAAATTCTGAACATTCTAAAATTGACTTGGTAAATATAAATACAACATTAAGTAGATCATTGATTTTTTTTTAACCTACAGAAAAAAAAAATCTGTGTCAGAGATAGGTGGTCCCATGTGCCCCACTGCCTGTGATTGATGGTGACGAGAGTGGCCACTTGGCTAGTGATTGGACACATATTTTTTCTATTCCAATATAAGTGACTAAAGTCTAAAGCATAAACTGAGGCACCCATTTTAATAATTTACCAGCACAGGTTGCATTGTAATTGCAAGCAACATTTATGTTTGATTACAAGCCAGTGTTGGTAATAAAAGGCTGTTGCATTTTATTTTCCTTGATGTTTGTTTAACAGTTCTAAATGTGGCTTTAACATCTGTTGTCTTCATCGTCCTTGGCTGTCCTGTAACTAACAAAGTGCTACCTTCAGTCTGACTGCTGACATATGAAGCAGTAAACTCAGTCTTCAGATTGCAATACAGGAGTTATTCTTTCATTTTATTTCTAAATTATTAATTTGCTGATTTGCACTTGTTAGCATTTTCACTTCTGGAAATGGAAGAAAACAGATATGCCCTATATGTCTATGCAATAAGAGAGCATATTAATGTGTGTAAGCAGTTAAAGAAACTCAATGTGGTTTAATTGTCTATCATTTTGGTGAGTTGACAGCTGAGTTACAAAACACAAGCAGTAAACGTAAAATTAAAATACAAAACAGTTATTTTTCCAATTTCACTACATAGATATTTCAGAGCTCTTTTCAGCTTCCCAAAACATAAATCACTGTTAGCTGGACAAAGCTCCAATTCAATTATTCCTACAGTCATTTCTTCAAAGAAGGTTAAATTGAACTGAAGATGGCCATTTGTGTGTTGTCCAACTCGTCCGTTCTGTTTTGTTTAGTGTGTCTATGTCTGTACATCAAATCATGTCCATGTCACACTTTGTTGACATATTTATACCGATATCTAACTGTCCTTCTTTTTCTTTTATAAATAGGGCAAGGAGGCCCCAAGGTAAATCATTTTATTAACTATAATTTGTGATGAAACAGATATTATATTTATACTTTTTGAATGTAATTCTCAGACATTTAATTACACTAAATTTTATGTTTACCTTTAATTAAAGCTGTTACCATAGTAAAACTGTGTTACTATCTTTACAGTTAAGGTTTCGCCTTAAGCTACGTATTATTTTGGCTCCTAAACTGCACACAGATGTAGAGCCAAGAATCAGAGCAACATTAATAGTCTCACGGAAACTGATGATGTAAAGTCACATCTTGCAGACCATCAGTTTAGAAGGAAATGTAACAATTTCAATACAAGCACCTCTTTATTGTAATGTAAAAGTCATTTTTAGAAGACTCCTTATTGATTGTTCCCTCTGTGTTTCATTTTCTAGGGGCAGAAAGGTGAACCTGGCGATATTAAAGATGTAAGTGTTCTATCCTATAAGATGATCTTTCAGTTAGTTTAGTAATAAAAATAAAACAGATTCTCCCATGCTGTGCTTTGATAAAGATTACTCAAAATGTACTATTTGTTTTCTTTTCACAGGTTTTAGGACCAAAAGGACCTCCTGGACCACAGGTAAAGGATATATTTGTGTAATTGTTATATATTCATCAATATTATTGTTTATATTTTAAGCTAATTAAATTGCAATTTTGCTGGTTTTAAGGGACCTTCAGGTGAACAAGGACCAAGAGGCGATCGTGGAGACAAAGGAGAAAAAGTAAGTTAAAAACAAGGAAATCAGTTATTTAGAAGTAAACTAATAAAGTATGTCCTTTTCTATGGACGCAGTGACTTGTAAGACATGAAAACAATGTAATTGAGTTCATCTTGTTTCCCATTTAGGGTGCTCCCGGACCACGTGGAAGAGATGGCGAACCTGGAACTCCTGGAAACCCAGGACCACCTGGACCTCCTGGACCTCCTGGACCCCATGGCCTCGGCGGAGTAAGTAGAAATAATTCTGACACCCAGCCTTTGCCACTGTTCATATTACAGCTTCATACTGACCGTAGCCGTTTGCGTTAGCTCTCAGAAGTCAGCTCCTGAGCTGAAAGCCTTCACTGTTACAAAGTAACTCACAACAGTCATCCTTTGTAATCACACAGTTTGTTTGCATTCCTCTGACACAAAATATCTCCTCAGTGCAGCCACATTTTTTTTTTTTTACTTCTTTGGCCTTTATACAAGCAAATGATTGTCCAATTTCAGAACCCCCGAAAAAGTACCATATGCACGAACGTATCATTTGAAAAAACTTTTAATTTAAAAAAAAAATCAGTAATCCATCTACTTATGTTTCTAAATAATGTCTAAATAATTATTATTGTGCATCTTTTGCAAAACTTTAAATTCAAACCATCCCTCTCTCCATACATCACTCTCTGAACTAAATGTGCATGTGCAGCTTTAGGTGATGGAAATCTATGTAATTTTATGTTACCATGGCAACCTTTTACCAGCACAGGATTTGACTATATAATTAGACATTTGATATCACATTCAAGCTCCCTGACTTAAAAGTGTCATTCTACACTTTTTTTCTAAAATTGAGAAATAATTTAATCACAATATCTGGTTGTATTTTTAATTTACATGGAAAACTTAATTCTCACAAAATTAAAATTTTCACATAGAGGTTACGTGGAACAGACAGGTTATTTATGCGATAACCAGATTTGCAAGCAGATATATAAAAAAGTAGAGCATTGTGTGAGTTATGATGCACATTGTTTTTCACACTATAAGTATTGTCATGAATAGATTTATTACTCTCATAGTTATAAAATATAAACTAAGCCTAAACTGTATAGAAACTACACTCTTTTTTTACACACGCAATTCCCTGTTACCCCAAATAATAGTATAGAAAGTTTTGTACAAAGAAATGATTCGGTACTGAAGCAAGCCTTCTTAAAGGAATCCAACTTGATATCATGTTTGGTTGACCAATCCCCTTGCAGAGAGGCAGGCCAGGGAGTCATGTTTTGCCATGTTTACCCAACATTTCTGTTACCCTATGGGACTTCTCATATGTTTTAGCAGGACTTAAAATTTAAGGTCCTATTTTTCTAGCCAGGCCTCAAAAGTTACTTGCTACACTGCAAGTCATAGCATGCACACCAAGTGTATCAATTTCTACACGCCAATGGCTAAATATCCACTTGTCAAAGGCTAGTGGCGAGTCGAAATTTTGAGCCCTGATTTTAGTATTTGAAAAAAAAACAAGAACCTTTTGAATACCATGGGATTTTTGTGAAACCTAGGCACCAGCTATAAACACCTTGGCAGCAATTAAGACATAAATGACTTTAGTTACTACTTGTCACGTCATTAATTAATAAATACCATTACAAATCTCTTAATACATAATAATTAAGCAATACGGAACAACACTACTGTATCTCTGGAACTTCACACTTTTTGACCTCTTTGCATACACTCATGTTTGTTAGATATTGAACTTATTTGCTACACAAAATGACTGAGAATGCATAATAGACATACTATATAAGATACGGTAAATAACGATTACACAACATCATAGACATAGGCTTAGCAGCATTTGATTAGAGACTAAATTCAGCCATCCACTAGTTAGTATCATATAGTATCCCAGGTATATTACACATATAGTATTATAGAGTGCAATATCTACATTGTTATTAAAATTATTGTTACATTTCACAGTACCTACCATTACACTCAAGAGCAAGTAGGATGCAGCATCATATAAAACGCTAAATTCCTTAGGTACAAAATTGAGCAGTATACATAGTAATGTTGCACACTGCATTGTATAGAATGGCATTAAATGCATAAATATATAGAATGTAGCCAAATGGGGAATTCTGCTGAATTGGAGAATGTATCCAATTTGGCTACTCTGTCCTTTTTTTTTTGCAATTCCTATGTTATTCATCAAGTTGAGAACTGTGAGAAATTCACCAGGGAATTGCAAAATTTGGGGAATTAATTATTGAGCTGCGAACAAAGCAGTATTTTTCCTAGTTCCAAGTTCAGCTATTTTGGCTTACAATTGATAATTGCCTGCTGATTCAACAACTGTGCATTTTCGGGTAATTAACTGAATCAGAAATTGTGCAGAACTGAAAAGGGAATTGCAATATTTGGGCTGAAAAAACAAACTTAGGACAAAAATTTCCAGTTCACTTAATTGCACAGCCTTTCTAATTTGAATTGTTTGTTAATTCTCTACAATCCCGATTTAGTGAAAAAACTTTAACATGGAATGTCTATCGGATGCTATAAATATATAATTATCTAGAATGCTAAACTCCACTATAATCAGTATTGTGTATGCTGCTCTGCACCACTGCTATCACCATTATGCAGGACATTATATTGGATTAGTAAGTAACATTTGCTCAATATTATGTAGCATTACATACAGCATCATAGAGAATTTTACACAGTATAAAGGTACCACTACAGAGCCAGGCGTATTCATTTAACTGGGTGCAGTCATACATTGGCCAGGGTTTTCATATTTTAGGCCAAATTGGAAATATTTTCCATATAAATTTACTTTTTTTTTTTTTTTTTAAATTCTTTATTTTTGCAGTGCAAATATACATTACAGGCTGGCGAGAGGTGCCCCAAAAGCAGTCCTCTGGCTTTTCCCACGCTTAACATGCGGGGCACATGGATAACAGGCACAATTTTTAAACATGCTTAAACATTAGGATTTAAACGTAGATTGTGATTGTAAGTTAGAAACTTGCTAGAGCTTCAATAGTTAAAACAGTACTTTAGGTATCAATATAAATTTTTATGTTAATAACTCAAGAGGGACTTTTTGCAGCACCATCTAACTTTCAGTATAGGCGTCTTAGTAACGTCTGTACAGCTTAACATGTGCTAAGTGTGAAAGTGTAGGTGAGACATGTTTGATAACAGCGTTGATAGCTGGTTTACGACTCCACTTGTAGATTTACACGCTGTCCATGCCCGTCTTATGCGTTATAATTACAGAGTACGAGAACATGGGGCGATAATAGGGCATGCATAGCTACATACGGCTAAACTAAAAAACTTTGCTGATAAGGCTCGATTGATCTAGGAGTCAAGGCGTCCTGTAAGCTGCCAGACACATAGGTTATTTGGCATGACTTTGACCAGTGACAGGCTATCTAAAAACGCGGCTATTAGGAGACATAAGATTATCATGCAGGTATCTGTAATATCTGCCCTCGTCTTGCCCCTGTCTGTGGGTGCCTTCGCCAGGTCATCAGCCAGTGTAGGTTGTACATTAGTGGTATACATAGGTTACCTTAACGTAAGGTGTTAAGATCTGCTCGGGCCTAAACATAGTATGAGGTCACACATGAATACCGTATCCTACGTCTATGTTATTAAGCCTTGTTCATATTAAACAGGGCGGAGATTGGATAGGTTGGCCGTACATGGCGACTAAACATATATATTTACAGTACAGCTGTCGGTGTAGGATAGGACATACCGTAGGGCTATGCGTCTGAAACTACCTTACCAACTTGAGACCTCTCCTGGCTCGGTCAATAAGGTATGTGGCGTTCGGCCACCTTTGACTGGTAGGAGACTACTGTTTAGTGGGAGCTGAAAGGTACCTTTGGTATCTGGTCAGGGCTAGTTAAGTGCCAAAACGAGACAATACAAAACCGAACAAATGATTCAAAGCTGGTTGGAGGCATGGGCAAAATATCAGACATTCTGAGCGGTTATTTAACTGTGGAACTATTGCAGATGATGTGGGACCAGCCTCTGCCCTCCATTATTGCTAAGTTCGCGGGGCGTCCGGTTGTCGAGTGTCCGTCTGCTGCTGGGGGTGTTTTCTCGGTGATAAATTTACTTTTTAGCTTGGCTAAATTGGCCTAAAATTTTAAATTCCCTGGTCAGTTCCTTACAGTTTGCAGTTTATTGAATACCAATGGCAACATTACTAAGGATGCTTAAGTTCACTAACACACATTGCCATTAAGGATTCTCAGTACCACTACCCACGGCATTATTTAGTATACTCAGAATATACATAGCATCATACAGAATACTTAGTAATGCCAAATCAGCATGAAATAAGTGTGCCAGGAATAATCATTCAGTGGGCACTGCAGGAGATTGAAGCATAGACTGTACTTCCGTGATGATGTTATTTGAAGTTGGCACCAACATTCCGAGGCATATTTACAGAAATGCTTTGTAGGCAGTAATTCGTTGAGGGTTAAGAGCTCCCCGCATCCTTTAACCCCTTAAGGACACAACTTCTGAAATAAAAGGGAATCATAACGGAATATTTCCGTCAAGGGTCCTTAAGGGGTTAAAGAAAGCAATTTGCAGGCACATTCTAACGACATTCTAACCAAAAGGACCCCTGACTGCAATGCTTCCGCAGCACACCATAACAACCATGACAAAGGAATTCTTAGCACCACCACACCTGCAACATACATGCTATTTAATACCTCCTCTCAGAGAGTGTTAAAGGATGTTCAGTATAGAGCCTGATGTCTGAGACTCAGTACTTCTATACACAGCATGATTAATATACTCAGTACAACAATGACAAATTGTTATTATTGATACTTAGCACTACCATACACACAGGATCAAGGATGTGGAAAATTTCTCACTTCACATATTATAAGTGGTGCTCAATATGAGAACATACAGCATAACAATGGCTATTCAGTGTCATGATACATAGTATAGGTATGTAATTATTTGAATATTGCATATAGAAGGTGCTTTTCACAGGTACTGAAATTATTTCACATGATATACTGGGTTATAATACCATTGTGTTCAGTATGGCAGCCCTGCGAGGCATGATGCTGTATATCATAATATCAAATGATCAATATGATGACATGGGCTATCCAATATCATGCATCACACATTTCTTTAATAATATTAAACTCCGCAATGTATAGCATACTATTGTATCCTTAAGATTTAACCTATGATAAAATATTACATTTGTACAATGACAATCTATCTTCATTTTATTCAAATGGAGAAGCAATATATGCATTTTGTTTACCTATTAGACATGTCATTAATTTTGAGTACTTAAAGGTTCTAAACTCAAATCAAAAACTTATTTTAAAAAAGCTAAAAAATAAACCCATCCTATTAATATTGTATTGTCAATCAATTCTATAATAAAGCAATTTAAATGATAAATTAGGCAAATTATAATACATTAATAATAGCGATAAATGTGCTATGCATATCAAATGGCCACTAAAAGTAGTTGATTTATTTAGCATATTGAACGTTTCCTACATTAGTTGTAGTCTGCCCCGGTCCAAACCCCTAGGAAATGGTTGGGAAGAAACTACAATTAGAAGTCAAAGAGTGTATATGACTAAATATAAAGGCACAGCGAGCCAAAAGCTCTAGAAAGCTGAATTACATGTCCCTTCATAGATAATGCCTAACTGCCCAAGAGTAAAATCCAGAACATTTGGGTCGAATACAAAATAATCACATTTATGACAATCTTCTGTGATTTACATCAGGGTTCTCAACCAAATATGCCACACTGTTATCCACCTTTCCTTCCCTTTGTATATTTCATCCCATAAAATGCTGAAATTCAATTTATGGAGGTGAATAAAGCAAGGAATTGCCAAGTACAAAATCTTCAATATCCCTATTTAACCAGAAGAAGAGGCTAGATTGTATTTAAATAGCTTTTGGATTGAGAGAACTTGTGCAGATATCAGAAACCTGTGACATTCTTAGTGCTGTTTACGTTACAGTTTGAACGTGAGCCCCTATTACTCACTTAGCTATACACTAAATCTAGGCAGAAGGAAAACCATGAAATAAGATTAAGCTTTATTTCTGAACAAAAAAGAGCCAAAAACATGAGCTAGTTTAAAGCAGCAATAAATTAGAAACAAAGAATACATTTTACATCAAGATGTGTTTTGCTGCATATTTACATGGCAATAGAAACCCATGTTCATGGCATTGTCACATTAATGTCCTGTTTGATGTTAATTATAATTGAAAATGTTCAATCCTTTAGTTTAAGTGATAAAAACAATAGGAAAAAGCATTGTGCTTTACTGCCCTCTGAAGCAATTCATGTTAGATTCTATTTGATGTTACCAAGTGACAACATGTAAACACAATTAAATTAAAAAACAAAAACAAAAATAGAAGTGATGTAAGGTGAAAATAGATTAGTCTTATGAAATATCTCTAGACTGTAATCTTGTTTGAGCAAGTTCCTCATTTACCTATTGTTTCTATATCATTTTGTAAATGTCTCATTTATTGTTAAATTTCACTACTTTAATAATATTGTAAAGAGCTGCCGAATAAGTTGGCGCTATATAAATACCAATAATACTAATAATTATTCTTCTTATTATTATTATAATTATATAAAAGCAATATATTATGTTCTCTGTATATTTATTATTTAATTTAACGTGGTTCTTCCTACAGAACTTTGCTGCTCAGATGACAGGAGGTTTTGATGAAAAAGCTGGCGGTGCACAAATGGGTGTTATGCAAGGACCAATGGTACGTTTCTCATATTATCAGTCTTATCAAAAAATACAAATAAAATACAGTGGAGCCACCTAGAGGACTGGAGGGTTAATTTGTTGCAACTAACACCCATGTAGATCTTTGTCTAAATGCTAAAAGCCTCTCCAAACTATAGTAATTATGCAACTTGCCTTACTCAGATTACACATATCATTTCTTGTCCCCTCTCTTTGCAAGACTATCTAAGAACAGGAGCCTAAAAATTATTACATATAAAACTAAGCAAGTAAATATACTGCATGATTTGTGTAGAAGTCAGTTATTCTTGAAATGGGAGTTTAAACCTTCATATAACAGCTACTGCTTTACAGAGTTCTCAAAGAAGTTCAGCAGAAATTGAATGTATTCCAGTCTTTCTTGGCATGTGCTAAATGAAACTTAGAACTGGTAAACATGGCTGCCATCCAATCTTAGCCTTCAAGTAACTGCTGTATATAAATAGAGATGTGTTAGTTATTATATATTTTTTTTAAAAGCATACTGTCTCTCTCTTACTAATGGATCTGTACAGAACAGCAGGGATTTCACTTTCACTATTCTTTAGACTTTGATTATTAACATTTTTGTAATATATACTAACTCTTAATTCATTCCTTTTAGGGCCCCATGGGACCAAGAGGACCTCCCGGACCTTCTGGATCTCCTGTAAGTATCCACATTGTTGAAGAAAGTTAGTTTTTGTATATAGCTCATTAGTTTAAATTTTGCCTAAACATTCTTCATTTTGTCTAATTATAGGGACCTCAAGGTTTCCAAGGAAATCCCGGAGAACCTGGTGAACCTGGTGCAGCTGTAAGTATTTCCATATTTAATTTTCTTTTTCTTTTATATATCACAGATACACAGGTCTTTGCAGTAGTACAGATAGGCTTATTGCCTTAGTTCAACTGCAAATTCATTCAATTAGTTAAAAAAAAAGTTAGGGAAATTCTCAATATCAGAACTAATCACCATTGGTTTTGGTGGCCATGAAATGTTGAAGATGAAGACTCACAGCATTTTTCATCTTATGGCCATCTATAAAGTGGACACAAGTACACAGTGGCCTATTTTAAGGGGAACACCTACCAGAGTCCATTACATTCTTCAAGCACTTGAGTTAATTTGTAAATACAATCTAAAAGATTCTTTGGTCCAGGATTTCTCTAAACTGATTTAGGTAATAGAATGGGCTCCATATTGAAGTTGTAATGTAGACACAGAAAATGTTCTTTATAAATATTTTCCTCAATTAACTTTTGGTTGTGTAGGTATATATAATGTGCAACGTGTCCTCATTTTCACAAACTTGTCACGGCACATTTAAACTGTGTGGGTGTTCTTTATTTACATCCTCTGTGCTGTACACATAACTTACATACATTGCGCACACGTCTTTATTTATCATTGGAAAGATTCTTATTGATTGTACATTAACACACAAAACATATGTGGGAGTTGGGATCTGCACCAAGCATGTATATTCTTATAAATTATATGTGTGTTCTTATAGTATTATTCTATGCTTAATACTCTTTATACACAATGTAAAAGAGGGTGCAGGCTTGTGTTGAGTCACTCCTTTTCATGGCCAGAACTGGATTAATACATTTTTCTATAATTTCTATACAGGCAGCGAGTACTCATTATAAGTATAGCAAATGCAGGATTATATGTTAATAGTATTGTTTAAATCATTGTGTATTATTTGTTACATATTGTAAGATAAAGAAAACATAACAATTTGGTTATAAAAGATAACTTTTAGAATTTACTAGTGTAAATAGCCTATAATTCAGACACACAACAAGCTGCTCATTCAAACACATAGAGGTATCTCATTATGCTGTAATTCAAAATAACATTCAAAATATCTTTACTCTCTGAACACCAGAGGGAGCTCTCTGGATTATTAAGGCCTTTAGCACATCATCAACAAGTTTGGTTACTTTCATTGACTTTACCTCATGCTGTTTGTTGTTTTCTTTGTAGGGTCCTATGGGTCCTCGTGGTCCTCCCGGTCCTTCTGGAAAACCTGGTGATGATGTAAGTTGTATTTGAAATTTTGAAAGTAAATTAGGATTTTGTGAATTCATGAAAAATTTATAATAAGGCCAGTGTAAAGATAGCATCATAGAATAATAAACATGGCTGTTAAATAGAGTGGCAACGAACAGCTCCATGTATTGCAGAATGCTGCATACTGATATATTGCAACTATATTAAAAAATGTATAAGTTATATGAACAGATTTTGATTTGGTGTCTATTTTACATATCCTTATATATTTTATATATATTGTATATTACCTATGGCTCCCATGGCTCCTCTTCTTGGTGGAACCTTACAGTATAGCTCTTTATTTGTAAAACTAGCTAACCTTTTGTATTTTTTATTAGGGTGAAGCTGGCAAACCTGGCAAATCTGGTGAACGTGGACCTCCAGGACCACAGGTAAAATTGACCATTGTTTTTAAGTTTCCCAGTACTGTGTGAAATTAATTTGAACAAGTTTGACGTATTAAGACCAACAGATGTTATTTATAATTCATTAATGACTTTATTGTTCAATGGAGAAATACATATATTTTCACATTACATAATATATCTCTTTACAATATTGTAACAGGATAATTATGCTAATATACAAATTGTGTCTCATTAGTAGATTACAATTTGTTCCAGACAACATGACAAATTGAGGATTTACTTTAACTTCATTATTTATTAGGACCTAGTGGCCAAACTAACTTTATCATTTGTCATCCCTTAAAAAGAATATTTTATAATATATATATTAAATCAAACGCATATAAATCAACGTTTCGACCGTCTAGATCTTGATAAAGACCGCTAGACGGTCGAAACGTTGATTTATATGCGTTTGATTTAATATATTTTTTTGTTTACTAAATCCAATGAGTGCTCTCAATTTGTTCCATTTATATATATATATATATATATATATATATATTATATAATATTTTATGTAAGATATTTTGTTCCTGAAGGTTATCGGGATATTCTGGTCATTAAATCAGTTAGATGTACCATCACCAGTAACTTCTAGATAGGATGTGTGCAACATTGGGAACTTTTGATGCATTATGCATAACTTTTAACATTCGGGCAGTAGAGGGTGCAATATGGAAATATAGTGACTGGACTACACTACCCAGTCAATAAGAAGCATAACTTTATATTATTATAATGGGGAGGTACTGTGCATAACTCATACCTCCCAAAATTTTATATAGACAAAGTGGGACACTTTCATTTTTTTTAGAGTGTGGTTGTGACTAGGGAGAGGCTGTTTGAGAAATTTTAGGTGGCTTACTAATAATTATTTATGTTACTAGAATGAAATTTAGAACAAGAACAATGCATCTTATTTGCACAAACTGATTTCTAAAAACATTTATTATAGTTTAAAGACACATTACTGTGAGTATTTCTTGCTGTGGTACTCTGTTATACACTCAGACACAACAACGATATGGAACTCCTGGATAAGAGTGACATTAGAATAGAAAAGTGGGACAGGTGGATTTTGGGCACAAAAATAGAGACTGTCCTTTCTAAACAGGGACACTTGGGATGTATCATAACTTTTAACATCTGAGCAGCAGGTAGTGAAAATAGGCACACACAGGAATAATAGGTACAAATTCAAGTTATGATACATTACAGTTACCTCCTTTATTCAAGACACAGTGTTCACAATACATTCATATCTTATATGTTAAAAAACAAGACATAGTAATGTAGCAATTGCTTATTCTAACATGTTTTTTACATGCAATTTTTTATTCAACAATATTTCTCCTTTCTTTTTTTAGGGTGCTAGAGGATTCCCTGGAACCCCAGGTCTTCCTGGAGTGAAAGGACACAGGGTCTGTACAAATAATTTATTCTTTCAATAGACAACATTTAACTGGTTCAATGAGTGGCATGTACTATGTAATCAAAACCATATTTAATTTGGCATCCATTATTTGATAAACCCATGACCCTTCTTATTGAGAGATTTCATAGTACCCATATTTGCACATTAGATTTAAAGATAAGCAACATGACCCATTCTTCTTTCCTGCCTTTAGTTTAAAGATAAAACTGCCCTTATCAGAGCAGCAATATTGTATTATGAAGAACACTGTTCCAAATGAACTCGAACATCATCTGAACACCATGTGATGCATTTTGACCATTTTGGCTTTTAAAAAAGAGCTTAACATTATTGCAAACTTAACCTGTGCATCTTCAAATCCAAGAATTCCAAATTCTGGGTCTTTATTTAACCCTCTTGTTAAGTATCACCAGAGATATGATATAACACAAAGCCCCTTAGATTCCATCATACGTTACATTAAAAGATGCCACAAGTTTGATTACCTTAAACCTATTCCTTATATGTCAATTTGGTCTTATAAAATATTATCATAACTAATGTTTAAAGAATTGCAGGTTTAATCTAAACTATTTACCTTTAACTATTCATGTGTTTTGCTACAGGGTTACCCAGGTCTGGATGGTGCGAAAGGAGAAGGCGGTGCAGTTGGTGCCAAGGTAAGACTTTAAATCCTCAAACCTTTTGATAAAACAATATACAAAAATATTAATATTCCCAATTTTTATATTAATTGCCCTTCCCCATCACAGTCTTAGAGTGTAGTGCTTGAGAAAGATGTTTAATGCTTCCATGCTACTGCTGCCAATAGACACTAAACTTATTGATTAAGTATCAGAAGCAGGCAAACATATTGCATACAGTCTATGTTATAATATGGTTAACTTTATTATTAGATGGATAATGCAGCAATCATATGTATTTTAACATGCATTGTTTTCTCCTATAGGGAGAGAGTGGTTCCAATGGTGAGGCTGGAGCTCCTGGTCCAATGGTAAGTACCAGTAGTGTTATTCTGAGATGATTACTTAAATACCAACGTGAGTGTTGGAGAAGCATAAAGTCCAATAATCTTAGATATACTTGTAGTTCAGGTAGATCATAATTAAAGTTATGTGCAGAACATTAGTCTTAAAGTTTAACAAAGGCATGTGTAATATGTCATTATATTAGACTGCAGTAAGTATAACCCTTTGAGTGCCCGAGAGTTGAGCAGTATGTTGTATATTGCATATCACTCTGGATATGAGAAGGTAGAACACTGAGTTTGAAGATGAAACTAAAACAGAAGATATGGACACTTAATATTGTTTTTCCCTCTGTTATTAGATTATAGGATAATAATACAAAAAAAAAGTTCTTTTAACATTTAACAAAAGTTTGAAATGTTATATTTAAATATATTTATCTAATAAACAGATGCCCTAAGCTTAGTTTTTAATTTTGGCTTGTTAGTTGAAGAGTCCTTAAGTTTGTATAATAGATTTAGTGAAAAGGGAAATAATTAATATATTGTATTACTACTTTTTTTAGGGTCCCCGTGGTCTCCCTGGTGAGAGAGGTCGTCCTGGTGCTTCTGGTTCTGCTGTAAGTATTAGAATTTTGGAGCCTTATGAGGGTTTATAACGTGCTGCCCTCCAAGAAAGTCGTTCAATTTCCATATTGAGAGCTTAATCTAAAAACCACTCAAAAACACTATAATTTTACTAATAAATTGCTAAATACATGGGGTGAATCTTTCCTAGTTTTACAGTTCATCTGGTTATCAGAACATCTCAAACTATTTTCTTGATAAAAAAGAAAAGAACATCTGCTTGTTTAAAAAACAGGATTTCAATTCAGTGTGCATGTATAGTGATACCATGCACTATTTCACCAGCATGGCAGCTTAGTGCATATTGAATTCTATCTATTGAACGTTATAGTTCCTTTTTAGTCATACCGGATACATTTTTTATTTTTTTCTCAGCACTGCTGTATTATTTTTTAGTATTAGGCCTTTCAAATAATTTCCTTGACTGACCCAAAGTCAGTCTCATGCTGATGAGGCCAAATAGAACAAAAGAGCTATCTGAGGGGGATCCATAGGTTCCCTAAGGCTCTAATCCATGCTTTGGTCTTAATGTTATGTCTAAAAAAAGTGATTCTAAGGGATTGTATAAAAAAAATTGTGAGGAAATTGAAAGTGATAATTCTATATTTGCCTATTTGCATATTTTGCCTGGCATTCTGGGAGTGTTATGGAAACATGTCTTTTCATTATTGCCATGTGTAGGGCACTATGAAAAAATGGTTTGTTATGTCTAGGTGTTGAAAATAATCTGAATGTAAATTAATTTACCAAATAGACTATAGTCTACTGTGAGTGTTAAAAGGTTTGAAACCGGAATACTGTCTATCACAGCCAGTTAAAAATAATCCCTATTTAATTGATACGAGGAAGGTGTATATGTTCAGGCCATAGTATTAATAATTACTGAATTCATCAGTTTCAGCAGCTGGTATCTCGGTCTACTGTTGTTGTATTTTCTTTTTCAGTGTAATTTAGGGATTTTTTGTATTACATTTATCTTTGAAGTGAGCTCTGTGGGGAAAAACCTGACATGACTTGTGAGACTTAAATAATCATGGTTGTTACTAAGGATTATATTTTTCCTATAGGTGTTTTTTTGTTTTTTTTTACATGTACAGGCTAGTAGACTCTTGTCTGCTGTAGGCCTCAATGTCAGTTTGTTTAAAATAGATACATAAACTTCCGACAATTTTTTGTTACTTTTAATGGACTGTTATTTTTAGCAGACAGATGCAAATAACCACCATTTTTAAACTTATAGACACAAACAATAAAGTTAGTTCAGGGGATTTGCCAATGTAAATATATGTGGCAATATTATGGTAGCTATAACTCATTATTCCCCTAGAGCTTCCTGGTAACACTAGCAGACGGTCTGGGTTTGAACACTTAAAGAGGTTGCTGTTTGGGCTTGTTTCCAACATTCCTCCATACTGTAACATTGGTTTAATGATTTTACTAGTTCGTCTTTTATATACTTATATATTCTAATTTAACATGCGCATTTTGCTGCTATTTTACTCTATATCAAATCATGCTACTGCATTTAACTGGCTGGCACTGTTGTAGCAAGCTGTTTTGAACTGCTAAATAGAGATATAATCTTGATTGTCTGTTGCAGATTTATGAGTCTAATTTCATAGCCCTCATCTTAGGTGATCAAAAAAAAAAACCCCCTCTATATATTGGAATATTAGAATAAATCCCCTTTAAAAATTTCACAAAAAATAATTGAATTGTTACCAGTGGAAGTTCTAAATAGGTCTAAATATATAATAGAGATAATGGCGAGGATGCAATTTGAAGACATAGTGTAAGATAAGGCTGACCTCTGGGAGGAAGGAAGTGTAAATTGGTCACCTAATTAGTTTTTTTAACATGATCTATGCTATTAGTGTTCATATTTATTAGAGTGGACCCATTTTACAAAAACAGCCAAGCTCATTCAAAAAAAAAATGGAGAATTATAATAGAATAATAAGAGAGGCCTGAGAATACGTTCAGAGATCAAGGGTGAATTAAAGTTATCGTTTTGCTTCTCGGGTTTCTTTTAAGCTACTTTGTGAATAAATTAGTCATCACAAAATATCACAAAATATTTTTTTGCCAGACAGGGTTTACTGTGAAGGTCAATTCCTGCTAAACAGTGCTCAACAAACAGAATTCAGCAAAACATTATATATGAGGAATATAAAAAGTATCCAGTAATAGAATAAATACAGTCAAAAATGATTATGCCCCCTGTGGCTATAACTCATGTTGCAGTTTGAACAAAACTAAAAAATGTTGATACTTTGTGCAAATTCAAACAGTCTCACTTACCTCTCCCTCTTGCCTCCCTTATCATTCACCCACATATATAAATACATGTTAATTTTAATGTAATGCCTTAATAGCACATTTAGTCTGCTGGAAAAGTGAACCGTAAGACATATATGATAGTAGCTGTTCCTCTCTGGTTAAATTATGTTACGACAGCACTGAAATCCACTTGTTTTCTGCCTAACATTCCCTCAAAATTTTATGATGACCTGCATAACCTTCCCAAATATTTCCAAATTTAGCAGACACAAGATGCAGGTGTACAAAGTGTGCGCAGTGGCACATATCATCCACAGTGTGGCAGTGTGTAGAAGAATTTCTTGCACTTTTTCCAGAAAATAAGTTTGCATGCCAACTAGATTTACTATTTTTTTTTTCACTTATTTTAGGTAAATCTTTTTGAATATCCGTGGATATATTTTAATCTTGCATTATTTACTTTTCTTATCTTTTAGGGTGCTCGTGGTAATGATGGTCTTCCAGGTCCAGCTGGCCCACCAGTAAGTTGATTCATTTGTTTCCATGATTTATGTTATCCCTAATAACATTAATAATGAGAAGATACATAGTACACTCTAATACAATACAAAGCTGTTCATTAATTTAATCATCACTATTATGATGATTTTTATATTTCGTGTTATTGCTATTATTCTTATTATTGGTAATAATGTTAGTGGTTTATAGTAATTTTGATTTCATCTTTCTTATTATGGTAACAATATCAGGCTGAATTTAAAATATTGCATGTTTTAGAAATGTCTCTGCTAAAAGTGTCATGTTAAGCTCCACATGTTATTGCTTCCTTAATGAGAGTAGTTAAAATGTTAAAATATCTGTTGTATCTTTCTTTGGCTATAAAGTTTGTGCCTCTTAGAAAACCTGTCAGATGGGTTACAAAGATAATATTTTATCTCTTTTTCTATTCCAGCTGTTAACCGAAAGATTTCACTGCAAATTCTAAAAAGCTCTTTTTCTATTACAGGGTCCAGTCGGTCCTGCAGGTTCTCCTGGCTTCCCTGGTGCCCCTGGCTCTAAGGTATGTGTGAATTCACAGGCAGAGAACCAATATCTTATCACTTTAGCAATCAGACCTGTCATGAGTCAGAAAAACCACAAAAAAAATCCTTCTTTGAATAAGCCATTAAAAGACAGATATATATAGTTTCAAAACCACCACGTATGTCCAGAAGCAAAGCATTTTAGTCCCAGCAGTAGATATCTGGGCTTATGATTATGGTCTTGTGAACATATAACATGAAGTGACTTTATTCTGTAATATAGCTTATAAGGGTTATTTACTAAAGTGAGAGTTTAACCCCTTAAGGACACATGACACGTGTGACATGTCATGATTCCCTTTTATTCCAGAAGTTTGGTCCTTAAGGGGTTAAAGTGACTTTCAAATGTAAGGCCAGAGAAGCGGAACTGAAAACACAGCTAACTTAAAGAACTTTCCCAGTTCGGGTAATTTAAACTTAAATTCATTTTGAAATTCATTTTGAATTTACGTCTAATTCTCACTTTAGTTTAGTTTCTCATGCACACGGTGTAAAAAAAGGTGCTCAAATCACAACTTACATCATAGCCTGCTAGAATAGGATGCAAATTTGGTATAACAGAACTGTGAAAGCAATTGAAGCTTTATATTCAGGCATAATTGACCGGCATCTCTGCTAAGGAGAGATGGTCCTTTTTCACTTAACTTCCACATCCACATTTCTGTCCTAATGTGTGTGAATGGTTTCCATAAAAAAAAAACACAATTTCCTATATGTGGGAATGCTTTAGCTTCAATGACTAATTTCTTATTTTACCACAAATGATGCTGTATTAGAAGCACTCTCAGACATAGTAGGGATGTTTCCATAACTATAACATAAATCGAGCATAGAATGTATTTGAACAATATGGAAAGCCTTCCGTATATTCAGGCAGTTGTGCATCTAGTAGATACAAACTAGATAATGACTAAAACTTATTACCATGCTTCCTTTAAACCACGCCATAAATCATGTCTTCTTTACAAAGTATCCCTGCATGGAATGACTATTACCTAAATATAGTGATGGTTTCCCATCTAGGGATTTTTTCAAAAGGATATTTTATGCTCAGTGTATATTCTAATCTAGGCAACCTTTGGCTATCCAGATGATGTGGACTTTATTTCCCATAATGCTCTTACCGCCATATAGCTGGCAAAAGCATGAATGGAGATGTAGTCCTTAACACCTGGAGTGCCGAAGGATGGTTTTCTAATCTGCTATACTAGCTGACAATGAAAGTGAATTTTCATACTGGTTCTATCACATAAACTGTCTCATAACAGCCGTTATGTAGGCATTAAATAGTGAACTGTGGTTAGAACACAGCACAATCCTTTTAACTTCTAACTCAGCTATGTCAATTTGCATCTCACTTCACCACAAAGTGTTGCAGCTCAGTGCAGCGTTCGTAATTCTCATAAAGCATAGATCAGATAGAATCAGCAAGGTAGACAACATAGCTAGACCTCTTAGGTCTTTGAGTGGTTGACGGTTGGCCTGCAAGGGTTAATGGTACACCTCATAAGGCATGTTATAAGAATTAACAAAACTTAATAATTTCGGATCAGATTGTGAATGTAGAGGTATTTTGTATTAAGACTTCAACATGCTAAAAATATAATGAAATATTTAGACCATGTTCTTACTGGCAAGAACCCATTATTGGTCATTAATTATAATTACTGGCTTGCTGGGGAAATGCCAATTATGTGATCAAAATCAGGCTTCTTGTTAATGCCATCTATCTGAGGGCCACACTTAAAAATGTTTGTGTGCATGTGTAGATATACGAATTTAATGCAAACACGGGGTGAAGATATTATTGGGGGGTGGGGAGGTCTACTGACTGCTGCTTCCTGAGATCAAGCTAGGAATTTGTGAATTAATGTAAATTTAACAATATTTTAATCAGCTGACAAACAGGACACACGGTTTACTAAGTACTTAAAAGGATTAGGCTAGAACAGTGGGTGACAAAGGGGTTCAAGTAAAGGCTACGGCAAAGCATACACAGTGCTTGCTCCTCCAGGATTTAAGAGTGGAGCTGAATAGGAGGCCCTGTTGTTCATGATCTACATTTTTCATTCCCAGGGATCTAGTTTCATCAGTTTCTATGGGAACCAGACAGTACAGGGGTCCAGCCTGGAATTTTGATAAACAAGGCCCTTTGTAAATGGGAGACAAGAATGAATGCCTCGGTGCTTGTTCTTGTATGAATAAAACAACACACTCAAGGACAAAATCAATTCAGGGAAGATAAAAGCCAAAACACAGAAAACAATTCCAGCAACATTTAGATATAATAACAAATTCATTTTAATAGATTTGGACTATTTAGGAAAGAGTACAAAAATGATGTGAAGGAAGATACATTGAAACATAATAAAAGTTGTCAAATAAACCATATAAAATCTTTTGTTTAAAAAAGTATTCGAAAACAGGAACATTTTCATTGCCAGACAGGTATTTTGGAAACCAACATTGAGTTGCAAGAACATTTATTACATTGTCATTAAAAAAGAGATGAGACATCCTGAACATTCTAGTTATATTTATTTGACCTATACTATATTCAATTTACCCTTAAAGCAAACGTTCCCAAATGCATTCCTTAAGAAGTTGATGTTTACAGGAAAATAATTTAATATTAAATATATTAGCTAGAAATTATACATTTACTATTAGTATAACATGCTAGTTTTTAAGCAAGACCTGTGATATTTATCATATTATGGTTTGAACAGGGTCCTCATCAAACTATTGTTCCTGTAACATTTTGTAATTGTCTCATTTATTATTAAATTTCCCCTTTTTGTAAAATTGTAAAGTGCTGTGTAATACGATGGCGCTATACAAATGCCAATAATAATATTAATATTAATAATAATATTATTAACCAAATAAACAGTAATATATATGAAGAAAGTAAGAAGTACATTTATTTCTAGTTACTCCCAGAGTCTTCCGCTTTGGGATGTGGGCTGGGTCTCAATGAGAAGCCCCACCCCCTTCTCCAAATATATGATATTGCCCACTCCTTGTCCACTTTTTAGCTACAGACCCCAATAATTGTACAAACTTTATTGATGGGAAATTCTTAGGGATATCTACCCACATTTAGAATATGTGTCACCTCATTTTATGCAGTCAGGTTTAGATGAGTTTAAACTTTCAATATACTGCTTTATACTGGTTCCCTTCATTTATAGATAGTTTCCGTATAGGGTTTATGCAAAGTTCACTACTTAAATGCATAGTTTATACAGTTATATAAAGCTTATCTCATTGTTTTAGAATCTTCAGTGAAGTGTTGGACTTTAACAGACAGGTACAAATGAATGTACTGATTTGTTATGGAGACAAAATGGTAAATTTAAGCTCATGAGGGTTTATCCGTGAAACCTCATATTGTAGTAAATTAAAAACCGAATTGCAACATTTAGGCAACATTAAGGAAAATAAGTATTAATATGGATTTTGTTTTCCAGTTCAGCTATAGTCACATCTTGGCTACTTTATTTTCTGAAGCTATTTTGTTCATTTGACGGAGTGTAACAACCAATACCATTTTGCTCTTTTTTTTACTTTTTTTACTACAATTGTTTTCATATCAATTATTATACATTCCATTCCAAATACAACTGAATTAAGTAAACACATCTCATAATCTTTCTAGCTGATTTTGTGTGTATTTCACATAAACAGAAAACCCTGTTTCTATAAGTGATTGGTTCATATATACATCATACTTGTTTTTAATTATGTTTTGCTATATTTTCCATACTGTATTTTACAATACATTTACATTTTACAATATATTTACTAAACTGATAGTGTTAGCCCTTTAAAACTGGGGTACTGAACTGCACCCTATTTTCAGATGTTTGAGACTATAACTCTCATAATTGTTTGCTAGACATAAAACATTGATAGCAGGAATGCATTTAGTGATAGAAATAATTTATTTACGAGTATTAAGATAGTCTTCTCAAATCATTCTCCTTTGTAAAAAAAACAAAAAACAAAACACCTCTGCTTTAGAACAGGCAGTGTAAGAAACCTGTACTGTAAAAATCCACTTTCAGCTACGCTTTCAGCTATTCTGGCTTTCAATTTTAAATTTAATTTGAATTCTTAGTTAAGTAGAAACCATAGTTTGATCATTTTTTTTTTTTATCATCGTTATGCCTGTGCAATAATATCGGATAGCATTAAAGCTAATTCTAGTATTAAAGGGCCAGTCCACAGTGCAAAAAATAAATAAGTAGAAAAATAATGATAAAAACCTCTAGCAGTAGCTTAACCCCCAATGAATACATGCCTACGTTTAATTATGCATATAGTCATTGTGGATATATCAAAAAGGGCTTTCAAAAGCTGTAGTTTGATTGCAACATTGCAAACCCCTCTTCTTCTTACCCATTAGAAACTTTTAATTCACAGGGAAATAACCAATTAGAAGCTTCTCATTGAGGATGTTCTGAATCTGTCACTTTGTACGCACATATGTCTGCAATTCAGTTTGATATGAATTCTATTAGGAGGAATGGAGAGAAGGCAGGCACATTTACCACTTCTGTTAGCTCAGTTGAGCTATCTGAAGGAGGAAGTACATCTCCTGGCTGTTTGATTGACAGCTGGGTATGTGTCTCTTAATTTAATTATAACAATGCAGAATGTATATCGGCACTTTTATAAACTGCCTTTTAAATGGATAATCCATACACGTAGAGCTGTGGTGCTTTTTGTATATTCAGTGGTACGTTAGGGATAAATGTGTGGAAATCCTGTCAAAAAGCAATACATATAACTAGCCACAAGGTGGTGCTAATGAGGTTATAAAAACTATTAATTCCCACAGGCACACAACTATTAGTTTTAGAATAAACACAAATGTTAGAGCTTAATACCTAGACCACAGACCAAACCACACTGTTGGATTAGCTACAAGAAAAATTGAACATAATTTTAGCTAGCTAGCATACCCTTTTCTTTGCCTGGGATTACTAAGCAACAACTGATCCGTAGAAGAGTGGCATTTGTATTTTGCCAAATTGCCCATTTTGGACATTAAATTTACATTGTGGCATAACTTTGTCAACATACTATTTAGTAGATATATCACTAAGCAATTCTACATCTTTTTTTCTTTATTATACTTCATGTGTTAAATACTTGTTTAGATACCCACATTCAGTGCTCACCTATGCATTTAGTTTATGGTACCTATACATGCCCATCAGTTAAGCAAATCATGGCACATCATCTATCACAAAGGGTATGAAAATACTTTTTTTTATAATAGTATGTACTATTACATTTTATATACTACAGTCGTATACCAGTGGCATGAGTAACCATCGTGTGTACCTACTATGATACCTGTATCATAGTATAATACAATGACTTGCTTTCTTTTTTTGAACAGTTTGAAATTAAAAAAAATATGTGTTAATGTGTGAAATAATTATTTTATTTGATCATTCAACCTCTTTACGTTTTCAAGTAGCCATGCTTGAACAGAATTCGATTATTGTATTAGGGCATATACTGACTTTCTTAAATCTTCCACTTATCAAAAAAGGTTTATATAATATGGGGGGGCATGCATACGGAAGCATTGATCTCTGATTGTCATTTCCATTTTTTTCAGGGAGAAGCTGGTCCAACTGGTGCACGTGGTCCGGAGGGTGCTCAAGGTCCCCGGGGAGAGTCTGGCACACCTGGATCTCCTGGACCTTCTGGTGCTTCTGTAAGTACTTATAACACAAGCACATTAAAAAACCGGGGAGCCTTGGCAGTTGATTAATTTCTCTATATGGTAGCAACATCTTAGAACCCTGTCCTTTTTTTGGCATTGTCCTAGGCCCAAAACACAAATATATATTCTATTATTATATTGCTAAACCAATGATTACAGAAAGTACACGCTTTCTTGCTTTTATAAGTCTTGTGTCTGTTGTGTATTGGTAATCAAGGAAACAAGCTCGTTTGTATATCTTTATAACCTAACGGGAGGAGAAATAATAGTCAACATTCGAAAATTCCCCCCAACAACTATATAGCTGGCTGTGTTGTATAATCAATTTCTAGTCTTCTCCAATCACAATTTCTTGTTATTAAGCATTTGCTTCTGATAAAGTATGTTACTGTGTATAATAAATCTTTTGTTTCTATTTGCATAGGGTAATCCTGGTACTGATGGTATTCCCGGATCCAAAGGTTCAACTGTAAGTAGCACATATACTAGTTTTATATAGGGAAATGTATATTAATTGATTTTACATCAATCATTGGGGTTATAAATAAATTATACAATTTGGTGGGTCTAAGCTATTGGTGGTTATAAAACATATTAGAGTATATTACTAAATATAGAACAGTTTAGTAACAAGTAATATATATGTTTTTTCATCTTTAGGGTGGTCCCGGTATTGCTGGGGCTCCTGGTTTCCCTGGTCCACGTGGCCCACCAGGACCTCAGGGTGCTACAGGCCCTCTTGGTCCCAAAGGTCAGACGGTAAGTCAGTAATCTGCACTCTTTTTCTGCATTCTTCATTCATTAGTGTTAATTGATCTTGATTATATCAAACAGAGCTTTAAAAAACCATGAAGGCTATTAAATGACTAAAAAGTACTAGGCCCAATCAGTTATATAAACAATCTTTATTACATGTTCTGATTTCTTATCCACAATTGCATGACTTACATGTACACTTTAATCTCCAACTCTTTTAATATTGGAAAGCACTACAGAACATGTTGGCGCTATATAAATGCTGATAATAATAATTGTCCCATGAAATTTTAAAATATAGTGGTAGCGTCACAACATAACCTTGTGTTGCATTATACCAAAATGTGTCTTTAGCAGAACTGTTCAACACCTGCTTGTCTTGTTTTAGGGTGATCCTGGTATTGCAGGTTTCAAGGGTGAACAGGGTCCCAAAGGAGAAATCGTAAGTATTATACCATTTAACTTTTTTATTATGATAAATTCAGGCTATTTAACTTATTATTCACATCTTAAACATATTATAACTTCTTATATTGTCAAAGAACATGCAGTAATTGACTATGCTGCATTGTCTTGTTTGAGGCAAATCATTTGAATGCACATTATCTTAATGACAGAAATCATATCTATCCTTTCCAAAATTGAACTAAACAACATAGCAGTTTCAAAAATATAGACTTCTGATGTGCAAACCATGGGTTTAATTGGCAAAATGTCAAGTTGTAGTTGCTTGACAAAATGGCTAAAATATCCCAGTGTAAAATAATCTCCAGTTCAGCAAAATAGATTATTTTTTCCAACTCTACTATTTTTTATTTATTTTTTAAGTCATTTATTAAATCACTGCAATTTGTAATTCAAGGATTAGAACTCTTAATGTATGATTGGACTCATCATTCAAGAATAATTGGAATAGTTTGGATAATGATGGAAGAGCCATAAAATGCTAAAACTACAATGGTGCCAGTTTGCACACATCTGACATCTTTGAGTCTTTTTGATTTTAGGGGCCATCAGGTCCTCAGGGTGCTCCTGGTCCAGCTGGTGAAGAAGGTAAAAGAGGTGCCCGTGGTGAACCTGGAGCTGCTGGTCCACTTGGTCCTCCTGGCGAAAGAGTAAGTATCCATTATATTATTTGTACCTGAGTCATTATCAGTTAGTTTATCAACTAACATAATGCTGAGCATCTTTGAATACTGGTACATGATTACACAGTAACATATATCAATCTAAAGCTATAGAAGAAATTATATAAGTGTTTTGTCTCTCCGTACAAATTACCAGTTAATCCCTGTAGGTTGTTAAGGGATTTAAAAACAAATCAGAACCTTTTTATGTACCTGTACTCCATCGTATTGTTCAAAGGCATAAAATAAAAAGAAATATATAAATATTTCAGTGTTTCTTTGGCGACCGAACTGCTAAAAGATGAAGCTTCAAAGAGTGGTACAAATGAGAGTGAAAAATCAAGGACAGACAAAATTGACAGGGCACTCAGAAACTGCACTTATATCAAACAGTTCATAGAAAATTTATAATTCACGGTTATACAAGACTTTTTAAAGTTAGACTAATTATTTCAATAACACAACACATTGTCCTATTGTTGTCCTTTACTTATGCATGCCCTTTAAAGAAATGCAGGTAATGTGTGTTATACATATGCATGTGATATATGTGTAGTATGTATGTATATGGCGTGTGTCACACATGATGCATTGAAGGCTGTTTATGTGATGTATGTAATGTAATGTGTGGTGTGTCTAAGTAACATATGTTATGCCTGTGTAGTGTGTGATGTGTTTTGTGTATGTGTCATGCGTAATATGCATGCATAGTATGTCATGTGTCTATGATATGTAGTATGCAATATGCATATTTAGTATGTGATTCAAGTTACGTATTTGTGTTGTCTGATGTACGCTATGTGATAGTTTTGTGTGTTATATATGTGTAGTTTGCAATATACTTATGTGATGTGTGTGATGCATATGCAGTGTTTCTCATCTCTTTATTTAGCCGTTGCATGTTGTGTAGTTTTTAAAGTGCATGCATGATGTATGTAATTCCTCTGTTTATGTGTTATGCCCATGCCTGCTGGAATACTGCACATGTGATGGGATTTACTGCTGAAATCACTGTAATCCTATGTACTCTTGTCCATGGGTGCTGATCAATGTAATTGGCTGACAGGTTGGCACTCAGTTGCTGGATGAGGTACATTAAACATGGAGAGGGATAGATTGCAAAGATGGAGACCCATTGATCATTTGTCATCCAGAATTATAAAATAAAAATCCAGTAATAATTTGCTACACTAGTATCATATATTTTCTAAGCCAATATGACATATATGGCTGCATGCATCATGCAATAAATACAATACACGCCAAGTTCCAAAAATCTTCCTAGGAAGCCATCTTTCAATCCTGACAGACCTGAAACTAAAGTGAAACTTTCCAGTGTCTTCCAGGAGCCATTTTGTTATATCATCTCTAGCTGTACAATCGGTACCCATCTTTTTAATTAAACATACTGTGGAATGAGAAATAAGACCTAAAGTACTGATGTTCTGTGAAAAATCTTTTTTTAAGTTAATTTAGTAAAAATTCCTATTGTTTATCTGTATTATAGGGTGCTCCTGGCAACCGTGGTTTCCCTGGTCAAGATGGTCTCGCTGGCCCTAAGGTAAAGTCATTTTTTTCTTTATTAACTTTTGGTAACCAATGTTTTTTTAGAAAGTGTGTTTTAGTAAACCAATGGCTAGTTATTTTCTGCATACATCTTATTACCAATTTTGTCTTAGTCTGTGATGATTAGCCTTAAAGCTGCTACTGCTTTTGGACTATGTTCCTCATGATGAACATCCAGCCTAAAGGGTGTAGGATTGAGTATCGTGGCTGACTGGCTAAGCATCACGGGAAACATATTCTACCAACATATTCAGTGCCATACTTACCTCTTAGTGACTAATTCCCTAGTACGGGTAATTCTCTTGAGCTCACGTTATATGGACTTTCTTAAATACAATAATTTATCTACATCTATCAAAAGGTAGAAACAACAAGTAGCTATAAAAGATGGAAGCCATTTAGGGGCATATATTGCCTATCACTGCTCATACTTGCAAAATAAATTGTCAAATCACTTATATTAAAATTCTAAATCCTAACCTAGCTGACATACTTAGGACAATACCTATCATTTCTCTCAGCATTGCTGAGATGTTTTCAGGTTTTCCAGACTGGGTATTATGTGTTAGATTCAGGTTTTCCCCAAATGCACTGGGTTCTTTACAATGATTTTAGAATCTTATTTTGGAGAACATCGAGTGATTGGCCCATAGTCCTTCTACATCCTCATTATATCAGAGCATGGAAGGGAAGGTCATAGGGAGAAAGGGATAGGTTGCTTATGCAGGTGAATAGGATTATAATTAAAAAGTAGACAAGAGTATGAAGGAAGTAGTGGGGAGCCAGCAAATTGGGGAAGAGTCAGATTTCCCACCATCTGAGACTTGAGCCATGCCTTGGAGATATAACAACTACATGTCATATCTGACTCTTCAGGGCAAGTCCACTACAAAAACAGAGGGTTTCCAAGTATGATTTAAGAGAAAACTGTTGCAATTCATGCGGGATGCAATACCTTCATGCATATAACATTTACCTTAAATGTATAATTATGGACCTATTTCTTTAAGGATTATCTAAACACATCTGATGTAAGCAATATGATGTATGCATTATCAAAGCATAATAAATATCACTAACTATTCTTCTGTGGGTTAAACTTTATCCTAATTGTATTCTATCTTCCTTTAGGGAGCTCCTGGTGAACGTGGTGTTGCTGGCCTCGGTGGTCCAAAGGGTGCTAATGGTGATCCTGGCCGTCCTGGAGAACCTGGTCTCCCTGGAGCTAGAGTAAGTGATTCTAAAAATGGCATTTACAATTCTAGCTTAAAGACCAGAATATAGTGAATTTTGCAGTCACTCAAAATAGTTACATAATACAGCAGCAGCAATAGCATTATAACAGCAGTGCCATTTAAGATTGTATAAAAATGAAAGATCTTCTGCACATGGTCAACTCTGGACCAAATGGGGCCATGTCTGATAATTAGCTTAGAGCTGTGATATCTTGAGGTAATTGGCTTTAGACTGTTTGTTGCCACCACCACACTTTACTTGCTTGCATGAGAGTAAATCTCCAGGAGTTTTCTTTCTGCTTGCACCATTTTAAAATGGAAAAGTAAGCCCAGGAATATATATAAAATTCATGTTTAAACAGATCCATGGTGCTCATTAAATTGAAGCCGTATTTCTGCCGTCTGTGTGAATTCAGATGTAAGTATTTTTGAGCCAGGCAAATCTGCACCAAACTTAAAATATATTGTAACCTATGGTCGTACCTGTACCAAAAGTAGAGGCCAGTGAATTTTGTTCAGTGTTGTAGAAATTATGAACCTCTGTTGCTACAATTCTGTCGACAAGAGGTATCCTGATTCTCTAGTGTCGAGAGAATCAACTATCTTTAGTTTGGTGATCTAAATGTAATTATTCAATGTTAGTTTAAACAGGAGCTGTAACTTTCAATGATTATGTTTATGTATCCCCTAAAGTTAACAACTGTGCATTTGTGAGGCGTCAATAATAAAATCAAATGTAGAAATCAACACCTGTTTATCCTGAAATTGGGCACCTTAATCTTAGCTCCTTGTTAGTCTTTGCTATAAGCCCTGTCCTTTGCACCTGACGGTCAGCACAGATAAAGAATACAGGGAAAAGTTTAAATGAAACAATGTTTACATTTCTCCTCCTCATTTGCAATTTGTGCCCTGGCTGTGCCTCAACTGACCTGGATTGTGATGCAATTTACCAAATATTTAATATAAATTTCAATGAAAATGGAGCATCACACAAAAAAAGGTTAACTGAAGTTATAGGTGATTTCCAATAATTTATTCAGTGGTGTAATTTCTAGAGAAGTGACGTCTCCCCTATAAACCCTCCTACTAAGAGATCAAGGCATATCTGTACTCCCCTTATATAAAAATATATCCCTCTACAAAGTAACTCAGTTGATTTTGGGGAATTAATGACATTTAAGGAACATGTACAACAGTCATAACTCCTCTCAGTTTACCTCCATAATGTAAGTCCTTTAATTGAAAATGTTTAAAGAATACTGATATATATGACACTATGATACTTTCACTATTTGCTAATGTATTGTTTTGCATTCTACAGGGTCTCACTGGACGTCCTGGTGATGCTGGCCCTCAAGGAAAAGTTGGCCCCACTGTAAGTTACATATTTAATAATGCCAGTAATTTGATATCTACCTCTACATGGACATAGTAATAAATCAAGGCAATGTAAAGTGAACTGTAAATAGCAAATATAGATTAACGAACAAAACTTAGTAGAGAGGCAGGTCATTTAAAAAAAATAAACCATCTTTGTATACAAAAAAATTGTATTTAACAGTTTTTGTTTCTCACCCACTACACCAGTGGAAACACTCTCCGAACGAGTACCAAAACTACCATTGAACTTGCAATGTCAGTTTGTATTTAACAGATGGATTAAGCTACATATTTGTAGAAAAATAGAACAGGTACTCTGTAAATTTGAACCTGCTCTAGGCAGGCATAGGATACTGCAAGCCCAGTAACTCACTTGTGTAGGAGGTGTCAGACCTTTATTAATGTAAATATATAAAGGGAATCAACACAGTAAAGGAGGATATTTAAAAGAAGAAAAACTACCACAACAAGAGGACAGAGTCTTAAATTAGGCTAGAGGGTAGTGGATACATGGAATAGCCTTCCAGCTGAAGTGGTAGAGGTTAACACAGTGAAGGCGTTTAAGCATGCGTGATATTGGCATAAGGCTATCCTAGCTATAAAATAAGGCCAGGGACTAATGAAAGTATTTAGAAAATTGGGCAGACTAGATGGGCCGAATGGTTCTTATCTGCCGTCACATTCTATGTTTCTAAATCTTTTAAGTCTTAATACACGCACCAAATAACTAATATAACTTACACTTTAAGTACTAGTTTAAACCAAATGAAAGCACATACAGAACAAGAATGCTATGGTTCTAAATTAATTGGCAGTGTTTAAATGCCATATTTCATGTGCTAATTGTTTTTTCCCTGCTAGATTTCACTTGAGATATAGTTTATATTGTACTTACAAAAGCTCTGCAAGTTATTCATGCATGAGATATTGAGAGTTGGAGTTACTGCACAGAATCACTGGTTGCCATGTGATATTTAGGACTCTCATGAGAAATAGTTGTACAGCTTTAGCAAGTAGATTAAAACACTATCTTGAATTATAAAGGAGAATTAATTAGCAGTTGCATTCCAGTGTTCTGAATGGAAAAAGCACACAATATTAACTCTTCATATAACCATGACACCTACAGCCATAGCCCCTTTTAACCTACTTACCCAATGATATATTTTTTAAAAATCCTTAGAGCATCAATATACATCCGATGTCATTGTGTAATATTAACTGGGCAGCTGTCATGCCAGCTCAGTATTAAAGGAGTTGAAATATCACAGTAGCTGGAAATGTACATTAAGTAACACTGCACAATATTTTTATAGATGAATGGTTCCATTTGTTTAAAAACTTATGATGGCAGATTAGTTGTTTCCCTATGATAAGGCAGACTTAATTTACACTAGTTTCGTTTTTTTCCGCCATGCGTCAGACTGGAAAATGACATTGAGCTTTAGATAAATGACAAGTGTAAGTCATATTTGTTCTTACACTGCTTTGCTTGCACACTGATATATCAACATGTAAATTTGCTTGGAATACTTTAGTTGAATTACAGTTTAATCAATGTAATGCCAAGACAGTATTCATGAATATTTTTTGTTGTTACTACCCTATAGGGTGCTGCTGGTGAAGATGGTCGCCCCGGACCTCCTGGACCTCAAGGTGCTCGTGGTCAGCCTGGTGTCATGGGTTTCCCTGGACCTAAGGGTGCCAATGTAAGGAACAATATTATTAACAATTTACAATGCTAATTATTTCTAAAGTAATCGTAAGAAGTTATTAAATTTTTTTCAATGATCATCATCATCGATTATTAGATTATTTATAAAGTAATCATCATCAATTATTATATTATTTCTAACATAATCATCATCAATTATTAGGTGATTTCTAAAGTAATCATCATCAGCGAGGCATCATCAGTCATAGTAACGTAGTTTCCAGAGATTAATATAAAGTGAGTTGTCTGATTTTGGTTTTCAAATGAGGCCAAAATGTCATATTCCCAACAACAGTTATGCGGCTTAAATGCACATTTATTGCATGTAATACTTATTTGCAAGAATATGTTTAGATCAATGTTTTATACTGTTTGGTCCATTTATAGTTAACATGTTAGGTTAGACTGGAAGATGTGCTACATTAATTTTCTAGAAAGCCTTATAGATGTGATTGGCGACAGAGTTTTCTTTAATATGTTTTTGTTTCTTCCTTTAGGGTGAAGCTGGCAAAGCTGGTGAGAAAGGATTGGTTGGTGCTCCAGGTCTAAGAGTAAGTTTATTTTTTACTTTGGAATAAAACTCTGGCCTAAACAATTAATCAATTCCTTATTTAAGATGACTTTAAAGACATTAGCAGCCAGAAACAATTCTCCAGTTCTCAAAACAATGTGCTAGACATTACAAATTTAAATAGCTCAGTGCTTTTTTTTTTGCCAAGAAGACAAAAGACTTGACTTGTTATTACAAGTTCTGACTGCTCTGTACTAGACTTTAAGTCTTTTGAAATAGTCTAGAAAAACAGTTACATGTTAGTTTCATCAACAAGATATATCAAGAATAAAAAAAATACTATTGTCACTGTTACAGTGTATGATTGGATGATAACATTCAGGTTGGGCTTTACATAGAAGTTTAACAATATATAATTTCTCTTTTTCTAGGGTCTCCCCGGAAAAGATGGTGAAACTGGTGCTCAAGGTCCTAATGGTCCAGCTGTAAGTAACCAATTATTTTGTCAGTGTCTTAACCTCAATCTTGACCTACATGTAGGGGGTAGGAAAGTAGCATGATCACTTATTGTGCTGTATCCATAGGTTGGAGCCAAAAGTAAATGGGGTGTTAAATAGTAACTATCACACAAGATCATTAAGATCTTTAAGTTAACTAATAATAAGTGAAGTCCTATGATTCTGATGGGTTAGTCTATATGCAGGAACCTTGTGCATGTAAGGTATCTTTAGCTAATGTCTTTGCTTACCACCAGGAAGTGTTGTAGACTGGAGTAGATATGCAATACTACTTATGTCCAACACATACCTTATTCCAATAAGTGTTTCAATAGTCTTCCTGGGTTGAGAGAAATCCAAACTGTCACCAACAGAAGGTTGACAGTTTTTTCTTATGTGGTAACTTGCATTTTTTTTTTTTTGATTTTTCATGATAGCATCACTCCTATGCAACAGTAGTTTATACAGTCCTATACAATTTATACAAAACTGTCCACTGGAAAGCTTAAAGTTCATTAAATCATTCTGCACTCGTGTAAAACTCATCTTTAGTATCTTTAGAATATTATTTATTAATGGATTTCCAAATATGCCTTTAAATAGTACTCTTGATTCTTTTCCTTCCAGGGACCTGCTGGTGAAAGAGGTGAACAAGGTCCTCCTGGCCCATCTGGCTTCCAGGTACTTGGCAGAAGACAGGGCTATACTGTAGCATGATACATTCCAAACACTGTCACTTTGCCACTATGCATGGCATCTTGAAAACTGGAACAATGACCATTAATACCAAGTTACACAATTACACATATTTCACAATAAAAATCTAGTGACACATTTACTGTATGACACAAACACAAAACATATTTCAGATCATTACACAGCTTACATTTGATAGAATTATGAATTGTGAATACAACACAATTAATATTATTTGACCTTGTCTTTTTAGGGTCTCCCTGGAACTCCAGGTCCCCCAGGTGAAAGTGGCAAGCCCGGTGATCAGGTGAGTAAAACATTCCTTCATTTATAGATCTCATCCAGTTTATTGTCAATTTCCAATATTAGGAGTTATCTTTGTTTTAGTGGTTGTGCTAAATCATACTAGGGCCGATTTAAAGATATTGGTATATGCTCCGTTGTTTGTTCTTTAATGTATCCATCCTTCCAAAACACAGATAAGAAAGGTTACCAACACAATTAAATATGTGTAGGATTCTAAACTGTCTGGATAACATTCATCCAATTAGAGATAGAATTAGCATGATGCCTATCTCCCACTGCTTGTCTTTAGAATGTTTTTATGCAAATATAGTCTCTTCTAGTCACAAAATATATCATATTATTGTCTAGCTAATATAAATGGAACACTGGATAACAACTAGTACTGGTGCTAGACAATAATAAGTTAATTAAGTGTGTTGGCATAAATAATTTTTGTGGCATCTATTTCTACAAGTTCATAAAACTCTTTTTTCATCTCATTCTGTCTTGTTCTAGGGTGTTCCCGGAGAAGGTGGTGCTCCAGGTCTTGTTGGTCCAAGAGTAAGTTATTTATCAACATTGTTTCTGATATTTTGTCCATTACCTTTATTTAATCGACAATCCTGCTTCAAGAAGTATCTTCTTAACTTGTACTCAAGTACATTATGGCATAACTAATATACCTTGTGCCATAACACATGCAACATCATTTTATATTGACTTGCTAAGTCTATGCTAATACATCACAATTATTAACCTGTTTTTATTGTTCACTCTGTTATCCATTTATTGACCAACATCATCATTACAGGGAGAGCGTGGTTTCCCAGGGGAACGTGGTTCTTCAGGTCCTCAAGGTCTCCAAGGTCCCCGTGGTCTACCTGGTACCCCTGGAACTGATGGTCCTAAGGTAAGGCACATTTGTAATCCCAAAGGTTGGAATTAGCACAGAATGGTCATTGAGGAGCCTATTCCCCACCACCCCCAAATATAAAAAATGTCTCAGTCATCAGTGACGTGCCCAGCCACATTGTGATAAAGTGGCTATTTTCATTCAGCATAATGTTAGAATGAAAATAAATAGAGACAGAAGCTAAGAGATAATGAAAGGAGGAGACAAAGGTAGACAAGCAGGGAGAGACAGATGGATAGAGGTGGATAAGGGCAAAATGATAAAGATATTCTCAGAGAGATTAAAAGAATCTGTGAGAGACAGACAGACAAGACATAGGGATGTAAAACCAGACACAGAGATAGATAGATCTATACATAGAGATACAGTATTTAAATACAGCTCTTAAATAGATAAATCTATTTCACTATCTGTGTCATATGCTTGGATGGGGACAGAGTGATCTGTGTTAGTTGTCTTGTAAAGCAGAAGCTTTTTACCGATATTGTGATATTAATGTGCCTATCTCCTGAGGGCATGCGAAAGCAAATGGCCCTTTGGCTTTTGTGGGTGAAGAAAAGGATGGAAGAATAGTAGAGGAGGTAAAAGGCCAGGAGGGGTTGGTTGGAAAGTGTCCAGGTTTTTTTCTGAGTTAGAATGATGTTGGGAACAGCACATTGGCTGACTGAGTCCTAACTGGCAGGAAATTGACCATGCCCTCTTGTTACCCATTGCCTACTAAACAACCTGCATTGTGTGTGATGTGTTCCTGGTTATTCAGTCACTAAGTGTCTACATGTGCTAATGTATAAACACACCCTAATTTGGGGCTTTGGGCAGCTGTTCCTTTCACCCTAAATTAATCTTCCCTCGTCTAAACCAATATCCTCTCATTGACTGTTAGACAAGAGAGACACACTTACTAGAGTTAATGAATATAATAAATAATATGATAATCACCTGACTTTGATATCTTTTGTAGGGTGCTACTGGTCCATCTGGTCCCAATGGTGCCCAGGGTCCTCCTGGTCTTCAAGGTATGCCTGGTGAGAGAGGTACTGGTGGAATTCCCGGAGCTAAAGGTGACAGAGTAAGTAAAATATGTTTTACAATTTATTTCCTTTCAAAGTCTATGTATTGAAACAGTTTCTGAGGTTTTATTTACATGACATTGGCATTAATGTGAAAATGTCAATTACTTAAAAAGTTAATTAAAAAATACAAGAATATAAAATTTCAATAGCCTAGGCTAATCGGAAGGGTTCACCATAATAAAGTATTAAACAGCATACATTTATTTATTTATTTTGGAAGCCTTGTTTACTGGAAACTTTTTCTAAAACATTGAAGCTTCCCAATTTTCTGTGTTTTTTTTTTTTTTTTGAGTTTACATACTAAACCACAGTCATCTAAAGTCATTATTGGTTGTATGTGAACACCAGAAGAGTTAAGTCTGCCATTGTGAAACATTCACCAATGTCTATAAAAGGTCAGCTGTGCTAATATGAGATGTTGAAACCCAACACTATTAGGAGAATAGTATGGGGAGAATCTTTTAATATCTACTTATACATCTAACCAGAAAATATAAATCTTGCTTTTTAGTATTAGCAGTGCCTATATATGTGTACCTTTTAAATAATTTTTATCATTCTCTTTTTTTAGTATATGCAAATTATTCACAGAACAATAATACTCAGCTAGTTGACAAAACTTACGTTCCTAAAATGTGGAGCTTATTAGACATCCAGAATCTAAACAACATTGCTGGAACTGCATTATTATTATATTTATAATTATTGATGTTTGAAAGAATTGGGGGACAGGAGTTTTACATTCTGCACCTTTAGACATGTATCACAGTGGAGGCCTACCTTATTATCATTAGAGAGAATACAAGTGCCCACTCATTAGTAGATAATGAATCTACCTATTTGCCATAAACAAATAAAACACATTTGAGTCGTGAGTTAAAGCTATTTATCTATTGATTAACCTTATATATTAGAACAGATACTCATGATTTTGTTTTGTCCTTCTTTACTTTTTGTTTTTTAATAGGGTGACTCTGGTGAGAAAGGACCAGAAGGTGCTCCTGGAAAGGACGGTGCAAGAGTAAGTATGATTACATAAAAGCAAAGAACAAAAAAAAATTATAACCTACACATCAATAGTCTGTTAACTGGTGGAAATAACAGTATTGTAGGGCCTTAAAGCCAATTTCACCTAGGCCACTTAAAATGTACTATTTAGGATGAGAATACATAGGTAGGAAATCCTGGCTTTATTTAACACTCTGCAGTATTGAAGTTCATGGGAGCTGTACATATCAATACTCATCAATACACAGCGCTACGGAATGTGATGGCGCTATATAAATAATAAAATAATAATATTATTCAATACTCATTCTTAATATGGCATTATGTCTGTTTATTAGTGTACAGGTTAGTAAAGGTTATGTATAAAGATCAGTTTTGGGGCAGGGTTCAACACTCTCATTTCCTATTAGTACTCATTATGCTTTATTTGAATGCTGGCAAGATTGTTAGAACATTCCATATGTGCATTTCAGTGAGTGATATAATAAATTCTGACACTTTACAGTCAGTGTTTTAGTAAATTATTAAAAAAATAATCATGAAAAAAATTAATTGTATACATTATAGTAGACATTTAGAAAATACCCAAATGAGGCTACAAATTTATGTCCATGACATGCCATACTGGAATGCAAGCATACTCCCATTGGTTCCAGATATTTATAGTAAAACTAAACCTTTATTGATAGGAAGTTGAGTAAATGAATAATCCACCATCTCAAATACAGAGTCAGTAGTGTGAATACTTACTGTTGACCATACAGAAAATAATTTCTGATTTCTCTTTTCAGGGTTTAACTGGTCCAATTGGCCCACCAGGTCCAGGCGGTCCTAATGGCGAGAAGGTAAGTGTTATTTCAAATATGATGATTAACTTGTTCTAAACTACTTCCATCCTGATGCATTGATCCTGGTGTTCAGCAATAAATCCACAGGCTGCTTAATGAGGTAAAAGTAGATATGGAAAAAAGTAGGCCATCACTGGATCCTGGTAAAGATGTCAAAAAAGGCATAATAACCCCTAGAAATAGTTGATCATCAATAGTGCCACCACTGTTTCCATTATAACTTTGTGCAGATCTGACCATCTCTAGACTGAAACAGTGGGGGAAATTGCATTAATTGCTGCTATGATACTATGGACCTCAGTTCCTAAACACTGCGTAATTAATTCTAATGATCAGGGAGACAGCAAGCATTTAATTTATTTTTGTTTATGTTCATCATCATAAAGATAAACCTCTGTCAGAGATAATTAGTATCTTTGAAATGTAATATTTGGAACTGGAGCCACCTTTGTTATGTCAGTTTTAAGTAGACAATGATGGTATACATCATTGGAAGGCCTTGGAATTCAAATATAACTTTAAAGGGTATTGCCTAACATGTGTTCATATGTTCACATGATGAACAATTGTTTATAGTAGGAATGAAAACGGAAATAGAACAGATTCCAGTGTAGTATAGTCAATAAACATATTAAATTGATGTATGCAGTAACCAGAGACTAATGTAATTTTAATTAACCTTGCAGATTAGTTTGCATGATTACATAATGGGGACGTAAGATGTGATCAGGAAGGAAACTACTCCATAGTTTAAAGAAGGTTATTAGCATGCAGCAAATGTGTGAGCAATAAGAAGTTATTTACACTAACAAATTCAATTTCTCCTTCCATTACTTCTAGGGAGAATCAGGTCCTCCAGGTCCATCTGGTATTGTTGGTGCCCGTGGTGCTCCTGTAAGTTAAATACCTTTTAAAGAAAATTGTATATATATATATATATGTTTTTTTTTTAATTTTGTTCTGGAATTTGTTGACATTGAGCATAATCATATGTTCACCAGACATTAATTATCTGCAGTTAGTCTTAGTCTGATCTATTTTTTTTTTGTATGACAATTTTTCAAGTTAAGATGCAATCTAGTTTATCTTTCCTTTGATTAATTGAATGGCAGATTACATTAGGTTTTTTTATTTATTATCTAGTAAAGTATCTTATTATGTACAAAAAACAAATAACACATTTTGTGCTGTTTTAGACAGTCCCACCATCTTAAACTACATCATTTTGTTCAGCTAACTCTGCCATGTCCTTTATTCTGGATAATTTGCAGAAATAGGATCAGACACAATGATAATAATGATTATGCATACATGAAGATGATATGCAGAGAGCTTGTTCATCCATGATTAAGGCACTTTACATGCGTCAATGAGATAGGCCAATGTTGAGTGCATATGGTAGGCTCCACTTTCTCTTTTTCTCCATATTGGCATCTATAAAAATTCACGTTATCTCGCTTATTAGTTGGATTATATTAATCATAATAATAATAGAAGTGCAATGCTCTCTTTTACAGGGCGATCGTGGTGAGACTGGACCTCCTGGCCCCGCTGGTTTTGCTGGTCCTCCAGTAAGTAATTTCAAATTTGTCAAACAAATAATAAAAAATACAGAATCAATGGTAGCAGCAACCTCTAGTTTCAGATTATTTATCAAAGACAGAGTTTATTATAGAGGAAAATCACATTGAGATGGTGAAAAAATGGTATTACATAAAATAAACATATATCCATCACATCCAATAAACAGAAAAAAGGGAAGGGGGAAGAAAAAGAGGAATTGAATGTGAGAAGGGGGAGGGTTGGAAAATTGACCCCCTGTAAATAAAGAAATATAAATTCAATAAGCATGATTTCCAGAATAGCGTAACCATGGATTCCAGATCTGAAGAAACATGGAGATAGATTGGTATAATAAAGCTGTTAGCTTGCACATTAGGATATGGTCCATAATTTCCATTTTGACCACCTTTAGAAGAGACACAGAGTCCTGACGCCATGCAGAGGTAACTGCTCTCATAGCTTCCAAAGAAATTCTAGTATAGTGTAATTTGGTTAAATAGTCTAACATTTGGCAGTATTGTCCAGTATAGACCTATTGAAATTTGTTTATCTTGGATTTACACATTGGTCATAGTGTCATTTTATACACTGCTCTATTTAATAAGGTTGTTGGCAATGCCACAGCTTATCAGTAATGCCAACGACATTTAGGATATTCTATGATTCCACTTATTCCATGTAGGAATTTATCATTTATGGTAGACCAGTAGTATCATGCTTTCTATAAATGTTAAATGTATTATATTTACAATGAAAGAAGGTGAGGCAGTGTTAGTTTGTGGGAGATTTAAATTCAATTTAAACTTAAATTTTTGTTGCCTCCACTACCAAACGTCGTTCATTAAAATCCTTTGTATTTGGTGTACACCAACTGGAAAGTGATGAGTTATTTTACCATACTCTCTAATTCTTCTCGGCAGCATCAAGTCAGACTTTTATCCTTTCATTGTCAATAAAATAAGTAACATCAAGTTGGTTAATAATAACATCTAGACCCCAGACGATATAATAACAGCACAATTCTGGTTAAATAATTTAATATTACTATAAAAAAAACATGACTACATTAAAACATATCTTCAAAAATACTGTATTAAATATATATACTGTTGGCCTGTTTTATAAATATTTTAAGAAATTGATCCATTTACTATACTTTGGAGTGTTTAGAGAGTCCTTGAAACATGAACATATTCACATCTGATCCATTTATCTGATTGCAATTATGGAGTCAAGAAATGTTTTGTTTTTTCCCCCTTTTGTGGCATAATTAGAATGGCTACAGTTGTTTTTGTTGCCTTGTTTTGAAATTACAGCATAAAAGTACAGGCTTCATGAATAAACTTGATAGGCTTTAGTCTTTTTTCAACTTAGACAAATATGTAACTATGTAACATGCAGAAGACAGGTGCTTTCTGTGCTGATAATGGTAGCCATGCATGATAGTGCATAAATCATCTCATTTGTATTTACAGGGTTCTGATGGTCAGCCTGGTCTTAAGGGTGATCAGGGTGAGTCTGGTCAGAAGGGTGATGCTGGTGCTCCTGGTCCTCAAGGTCCATCTGGTGCTCCTGGGCCACAGGTAGGTTAAACATTTTAGCAATGTGTAAACTTAATACAAAGATACACCAAAGTAGCCGTCATCAGTGATACTGTGCTTGCTGGAATAGCATGTACCATGCAATTATACCTGGAGTACCCAATATAAAATATTAGAATATATATTTTTTAGTTTTATTGTTTTATAGTGGTAACTAGTAGATACTACAAGGTTTTGCAAATTCGAAGAACATACTATTAAATATTACGTCATAATATAATGAAAAGTTAAAATAATATCAAGTAATATTTATAAATACATAGAGCACTAGGAACAATAATTTTATACTTGACCTTGAGATATGAGAATTACTAGTTTTGATGTTTGCAACTTGCCTTTCGTTTACAGGGTCCAACTGGTGTTAATGGTCCTAAAGGAGCTCGTGGAGCCCAAGGTCCTGCTGTAAGTAGAACATTATTACCTTTTTGCACCACACTATATCCTACAATTGAAAAATTGCCATGTTTCTCCCAGGAATAAACTTGTTGCCTTGGATTTCATTAAAACTGTATTACAATGACAGTTTGTCAATATGATGTTTGCCCAATTTATGTTCAATTCCCATATCAACCCCATCTTTATAAAAACATATCTCTGATAAAACAGAGCTTCCCAAAATTGAAACCACATCACAACTTCTACAAATTGTACCCTCATCTTCTATTATAGGGTGCTACTGGATTCCCTGGTGCTGCTGGAAGAGTTGGTCCCCCTGGTCCTAATGTAAGTGACCTCATTTTATTGATCTTAAGACATTATTATTATTATTATTATTATTATTATAACTAACTTCTGTGGATTAGTAATTAGGTGTAATGTGGGTGTATGGTTTTCATTTGGTTTAATTGTGTTATAACATTTTGTATTTAGTGTATAGATTTTATAATGTTAATTTTATAAATATACATATTTTACAGTTTACTACTACTAATAGTAAGAATATTAATAGTATGCTTGTAGTAGGAGGGCACTTACTCAAATCTCTGAAAATATATGAATGTATAATGCTGCAAAGAACTACAATTTTGTTTTTTTAAGAGCTATCATTCTGCTTTTGACTTACCATTGTGAACATGGTAATTTGACATGCAGCTCTGTAAGAATGAGATTTTATAATGTTGGCTTATATTTATTAAACAGGGTAACCCTGGAGCTCCTGGGCCTCCTGGATCTGCTGGTAAGGATGGACCCAAGGGTGCTCGTGGAGATGGTGGCCCATCTGGCCGTGCTGGTGACCCTGGTCTTCAAGGCCCTGCTGGTGCTCCTGGTGAAAAGGGAGAGCCTGGTGAAGATGGTCCTCCTGTAAGTATTACAGCAAAAATGGTTTCAATCGATGTCATTGAAATCTGTTACAATTTGGCATAATTAATCTATATCTCAATTTGGGATGTTTATTTTATAAGGTTTATCTAGAGAATACATGATTTTCAGATATGACTGACTGCATTTCACCTAGTAAAACCATTTGGTCAAACCTGCAGTTAAAATTGTATTAAACGCAAATGCTTATTATTACTGACTTTGCATTTGACTTATACATGTAGCATAGTTATATCAAATACTCAATCTCTATCCTCTTCTATAGGGTCCCGATGGTCCCTCAGGTCCTCAAGGTTTGTCTGGACAGCGTGGTATTGTAGGTCTGCCTGGTCAGCGTGGTGAGAGAGGTTTCCCTGGTCTTCCTGGTCCTTCTGTGAGTATATACTTCTAGGAATTTATAATGTTGTATTATGTTATTTGAATTAAAGAAACTAGAAATGAGAGAGCACATTATTGCTGTAGTTAATTAAAAGTGGTATGATGAGGACCTATAGAAAAAATATAGTTACCAAATATGTTTCTATGTTTCTATGTTTCTATATGCTTGGGCATTTAAAAGAATTAAAGGTCAAGTGCAGATGTGGTGGTGCTCACTTCAATAACCATTATAAAAATCAGGGCAGAAGAGATCCTTGCAAGTTTGCATTTGCAATGATGCCAGTCTAAAATTGCCTAAGAGTCAGGAAGAGCTTTCTTTCTCATTTTTAGGAAAAACTGGAGCCAACATTTTGTGTGGATGAACAGATAGATACCTGAAACTTTTGATTCAATCATTTATAAGATCACCCCTCTGTAACAATATTAATCATTTATATCAAATTTTTGTAAAGCACTCCAGATAGGAGCACAGTATAAAAACTATTACATTGAATAGTAAATTTAGTAAAAATTCGGTATTCCTGAGTACGTAAACATAATCAGATTTCTATTGAGCAGCCTATACATAATACAATAGCCATTAACCATTACAAAAGGACAGCACTCAGGTTCCAAACAAAGTCCTCATACACATGAGGGGTGCTCCAGACTCAAGTGGTTCTGTCCAAACTTCCACAATATTCTTGATAAATATAAAAGTAGTCCAGGCACCCAAATCCAAAATAATAGCAGGCTTTAATGTAACATAGCAACACATGACGATGTTGGTCATTGTGTCACTGAAACACTTTCACATGTTTCTATGTTCCATTAAAGCTTGCTACTATTTTGTATTTGTGTGCCTGGATGTCTCATACTTATTTATAATACTATGACATATATCTGACCTTGAACTTATAGTTTTATTTATAACAAATTGGGGGTGACAGCGTTGTCTGTAAGTAAATGATAGCATATGGAACTCGATTATAATTAAACTATTTACATTGTACAGAACAACCAGTTCACAAGCTTGAGTGATCTTGTGCAGGTCAGATAGGAGGCTTTGGCCAGAGTTGACTAAAGAGGCTTTATTGGTAGGTTTTTACATATCAGCAGGTTAACTTATAGAATTAAATAATAAGGAGAACAGAAGTGAGAGAAATAAATGTTAAGGCAATATGCCCTATAGAGATAATAAACAGGTGTGCAAATAATAAGAAAGCTAGAGATAACAGTATAGGAAGAATAATAAGACAGGTATAAAGAACAATAAAGGTTTCAGGGTAGGAAAATAACACCTTGTAAATAAAAGTAAGCAGCAATGTCCAGATAGGGGTTAAGCAGGATTGTTATGGAGCAGGGTTGGTAGTAAACTAGGTTGGCAGGATAAAGCAGTGTTGCAGGCAATCAAGGTTGGTATGAAGCAGGGTTGGTATGGAGCAGGGTTGGTATGGAGCAGGGTTGGCAGGATAAAGCAGTGTTGCAGGCAATCAAGGTTGGTATGAAGCAGGGTTGTTAGTAAACCAGGTAAATCACAGGTTGCTTCTCAGGAGCCAGGATCTGAAGTCTTTTCAGTAAGAACATCAACTTCAATGTAAAGGCCACTTGGTTTGTCGGGTGTGGCCTTTTGTAGGAACTGTAATTAGTCCTAAGCAGGTGAGGAATGAGATGAATAGTGGCTAGGGAGGCCACTAGTGGTGGAGAACTGGAACTTTATTTAAAGGAACAGAAATAAACTAACATAGAACAGTTGTCAGGATAAGAGCCTGACAGTTTCTTTGGACTGGGAAAAAATAACTGTTTTGTAATATTGTATTTGTTATTTTGTTTAAAGGGTATAACAACTACACTTTATGCAGCATGCTCAGATTTAAAATTAGTTTATTACCATTTTCAAATGTAGCAAACTATTGAACTGAAATTTGAACTGGCCACAGGTGCATATTTAATTTATGGTACACTGGACACTTGCCTGAAGTGTCATATTTTTTTTAGAAATTACTAAAGGTTTTCCAATTTCTAACAAAATATTGGTGTCCTCTAAGAGTTCAGATTTATATTAAAGTATATAAGTATCTAACTCCATAGATTAAATAAAGAAACTAAAAATGAATCTCATTGTAATGTGTCTTTCAACCATAGTAATTTTATTGTAACATTAGAATAATGTAAATTTAAAAAATTATCTATTTTTACTTATATAAAACATCCCCTATAATGCTCTACAATATCTCTCCCCTTGACCACTACTTCAGCCACACCCCTTTAAACAAACTTGTTTTCTATTGGCCATTTGAAATATTGGCAATTATATTTTGCCAATGCCTGTCTGAAATGTCTTTCCATATTGGCTGTTTTCAAAATACTGGATATACACATTACCTTAATATTTTAGTAACATGTTGTATTTTCTCTTTGTCAACTTACTGTAGTAGTTATTTTCCTAATTTTAAAAATATAACTCTTTAGGGTGAGCCTGGCAAACAAGGAAGCCCTGGATCTTCTGGAGACCGTGGACCCCCTGGCCCTGTTGGCCCACCTGGTTTGACTGGACCTTCTGGAGAACCTGGCCGTGAAGTAAGCAGATATGTTTATAATTTGTAAACATTCCCCCAAAATATACTTTTTATTTATATTGTTTCAACTTAAACATATAATGTAAAGATTGTGATTTGATGAAAATATATACAAATTATTCTTCAAGAACCTTTCCTTTATTAAAAGGTATATTATATAAAATTTTACCTTTTATCTCTATTGAGAAAGATCATTATAATACGATCTTCAAGTATTGGAACGCAATATAGAAAAGTTAATTAGTTTCTAGTAATCCTTTCAGGGAACCATACTGATAATTTACAGAAAATTCAAAGTCCAGTCTTTAGGACTTAAGAAGCAGAGCATATTATTAGGCTTTGATAGAATCAAGAGAGCTATGCCTTTATCAGTTGTTTCTGCTTGCATTCATAGTGTGCAAATATTAAGATCTTTCAATATGTCGTAAGTCCATCATATTATCAGGACCTAGAAAACTATGCATTATATTTAATAACCATTACTATTTGAGATCCAGAAACTCCAGACTATGACTCCTTCTATAAGAAAAAAAAATTTACGGGCTATGTTTAAATGTGAATATTGGTTAATATTGTTACCTAGTTTAGGCTCTTTTGTTTCACATTAACACAATTTGGGGATCTAACTTCTTCCAAGTGACAATTGTATAGCATTGGCTATAGTATAATAGCGTTCACTGAGAATGAACTTTGTAAAGCAACATAAAATTATTAGTTGAGAGGAAGGTATTTTACAAGAGATTATATTTTGCATTTCCATTTATGTTCACTATCTGAATTAATTTATTTAATCTTCTCCTTTAGGGTAACCCTGGCTCTGATGGTCCTCCTGGTCGTGATGGTTCTACTGGTGCTAAGGTAATTAGCAGACATTATTTACTATATGGCATTAATTTAAATGTGACACTTCTTTAAGGCCAACTATTAAAGGAGTGATAGATATTTATGTTGCACTTGTAATATAGTAAAAAAAAAACAAGTTTTCAAGGAAAAAGTTAACATATTGAAGCAGATATATAGTGATATTTATCATTTTAAACCCTTAAATACAACAAAAAAGATAAATCATCAAACATTTGATCAATAACCAAACCAAAAATCCCACATTCTTTCTTTGGAAATGAATTGAGATACCAGGCAAGTATTTGTGTTACAAATAGATAATTGAACATTGATATAACTTTAGTTGTAAAACTGTAACAAAGCTTTTTCTCTGAACTCCACAGGGTGACCGTGGTGAGACTGGCCCTCTTGGTGCTCCTGGTGCCCCAGGTTCCCCTGGCGCCCCTGGTCCTGTAGGCCCAACTGGAAAACAAGGAGACAGAGGAGAATCTGTAAGTATATTTGTTTAATTCTTTATATTTTATGCAGTATAATTCACTATGACATTTCCCCATCTAACTATACCATTAATCTTTCACTCTATTTAAACATTTTAAAACATAGAGACACGTAGATTTTTAGTGAGAATTTTAACTTTACATTTCCTTTACTGTAACCCCAGGGCATGTTAAGTTGTATAGTTATATATTTTAGAGAAAGTACTACTTTCTTGCACATTGTAATTGCTATATAATGCATGTGCAATTTGTCATTACTTATACATAAATTGAAATTCAAGGGCCAATTAGGCCAGTGGTGTAAAGGCTAATTTTATGGTTTAGCTTAGATGATAGGTGTCCATCTTCAACCTTGCATTTGTGCTTGGACTCCCTTTATTGACTCATAGAGAATTGGGAGACTAAAGCCCAACCACATCAGCAAAAACTGTTGGAAACCCCTGCCTTACATATATATATATAATACTGCTTCATATACAAACATTATTGCATTAAAAATACATTTCCTGGTAATGAATATTGCTTATGTTCATTTAACTTTGTAAGTTTAGTGTCTGTTCCCAGGTGCAAATATAACTAAGCTAATATATTTTATCTGGGATATTGTAGTTCAGTAATTGCAAAACTGATGTTAGAACATAAGTTACAATACGTCTTAAAGCTCTAATAATAACATAAGCACCTGTAGGCAGTGGTTGCTTGCATAGTTTAAAGATGGCCAGGCACTAGACCCTGCCCCTGGAATTTGACTCCACCATCTGGCCTGTTGGGCTCTGACTACTCAACCTCTGAGAGGTCATGTTCTGTTCATTACAACAATAATCCATAGTTATACATATTTGGAAAACAGCAACTATTTTAAACAGGACCAGCGGCATCACTGCTGTTACCCAAAAAGCGCCCTGGGAATAAGGATTATACACTGTTCAAAATCTGACAGTCCAATCAATGCAAAACCAAGACTCAGCATGTCTGACGGGCTCTATAACAAGAGAAAGAGTCTTTCTATAATTTAGAAATAACTAAAATCTTGACATGATTAGTTGCTCAGCTTCTCTTTGGTGTCTCCAGTCATCATTAGCGCAAACAAACTGGTGAGGGCACTGCCTCACCCACCCTTATGGACCAGTTTACACTGCCTGTAGGTGTCTATCCTACTCAGTTTACATTAGTATTACTACAGATAGATCAGGTAAAAGCATGGAGATGTGAATTAGCAATGTAGTTAATATCCGTATAGCTTCTTATATTTTTGATGGTAGCTTTGTAAATTTTGACACACTCTGCTGAGTTCTTTAGTACTAGCAGAATGATCTGAATACTTAATCAGTCTGAGTAACATTGCTGCAAATAAATAAGGAGATCTCTACTTCAGCATTAATGCATTATTAGTTACTCATAAAGTACCAATAGACTTCATAAATCCAGATACATTGAGAAAAGAGAGGAATAACAACACATAGCTCAATAAATAAAATAATGTTTTATTTAATGTTTGTTAAATTAACTAACTGGACATATTTCTCTTTTATAGGGTGCCCAAGGTCCTTTGGGTCCTTCTGGTCCTGCTGGTGCTCGTGGTCTACCCGTAAGTATACCTTTTCTTCTTTTTTTATTGTATTGCACCCTTATTGCACACACATCAAACAACATGACAGCCTACTTGTATTTGTGGTTCTTTCAATGTTAGTAATAGGGAAACATATGTATTCAAGTAATAATAACAACACATGAACAAATGCACCATCCTGGATGTTTTGTGACTGTCCTGTCTATTAGTAGCCATTACTAGCCCACAAAACATTTTAGCTTTTAGTTAAGATTTTAGGGTATGTCAGGTAGGCAGTATGTGAGATATATCTCCAACCTCGGGGCATGCTACTGTTTTCAATAGAGTCACCTTCGTACATTACGATACATTACAAGATAATATGCTGACACCAAAAGACAATAACATGCTGCATTCTATAATTCTATAAATACTCATCAATACACATGCTTTTTATTTATTTTTCAATTTTTACCATGAATGTGTACTGGGCTTAAGATAATTACTATAGCCCTGATTAAGATGAAACAGAAGTAATGAAACTACATTCTTCATCTTTTGTGGGGTATTTCTTAATAGTGATCTATAATTCACAAATTAAAAATAATACCCTTTATTTTTACCAAATTCAAAACACTTTTTAGAATTACTTTAAAATCTTACATTCTTGTAGAAATTATGCTAACATTGATGTGCATTATATAAAACTTTTAATATGTATAACTGCTAATTTTACTGCTGTCATAGAAAATACTCTAATTATGTCATATTCTTTCTTCCTGATGTCACCTATGTAGGGTCCCCAAGGTCCACGTGGTGATAAGGGTGAAGCCGGTGAAGCTGGAGAGAGAGGACAAAAGGGTCATAGAGGATTCACTGGTCTTCAAGGTCTGCCCGGACCTCCTGTAAGTAGAAATTAAATTTTAACAATTCCCATTGTTTTACAATGCTCCATTCATGTTTGAGTAAGATTTGGGCAACTTTGGTAATAGCAGCCCCCCTAGCGTCTCACACAAATGCTCCACTTGGGTAATTTTTCTGGATGTTTTGTGACTGTCCTGTCTGTTAGTAGCCATTACTAGCCCACAACATTTTTTAGCTTTTAGTTAAGATTTTAGGGGTATGTCAGATAGGCAGTATGTGAGATACATCTCTAACCTTGGGGCATGCTACTGTTTTCAATAGAATCACCCTTATACATTACAATACATTACAAGATAATATGCTGACACCAAAAGACAATAACATGCTGCATTATTTAACAGAGTTTTGATCATTATGAACACCCCCACCACTGATGCTTACATTTAAAATAAAGAGACTTTTGGCATGAGAAGCACTAGAACTACAGGTCTAGAAGCTTCAATAATTATTAAATAGCCATTAATAGTTAGCAGTTAACAGTTATTAATAGATATTAAGTTATTTAAGTGATGAAAAATGTTGGCAATATCCATTACATTCCTTCCAGAATAAATTGAATTATTGAATACAATATTACTGGAGGGGGAGATTTAACAGATAAATGAAATTTAATAATAAATCATATAAAATAAATGTTACTCCTTCTTACAGGGTACCGCTGGTGATCAAGGTGCAACTGGTCCTGCTGGTCCTTCTGGCCCTCGTGTAAGTACAAAAATGATATTTTTTTATATGTTATCACATGAATGTGAATATCTAGATTATAATTGGTATGCTTTATGTATTTGTAGGGTCCTCCTGGCCCTGTTGGTCCCTCTGGCAAAGATGGTTCTAATGGTATACCTGGTCCAATTGGTCCCCCTGGTCCCCGTGGTCGTAGTGGTGAAACTGGTCCTTCTGTAAGTATATTATATTTTGAAAGTTTTAGATATAAATGATAAACCATCTAATACAGACCAATATTAAGGCAGATTAGATCATTCAGAAGCAATTTGAAAATATGTACCTGTTAAATCAGTGCCCATCTAATGTTTTAATGCTTTTTACAATAGGGTCCACCTGGTCAACCTGGTCCACCTGGTCCCCCTGGTCCTCCTGGCCCTGGCATTGACATGTCTGCATTTGCTGGTCTATCTCAACCTGAAAAGGGACCAGATCCTATGCGCTACATGCGTGCTGACCAAGCCTCTACTTCTCTCCGCCAACATGATGTAGAGGTTGATGCCACTTTGAAATCATTGAACAACCAGATTGAGAGCATTCGTAGCCCAGATGGTACCAAGAAGAATCCAGCTCGCACTTGCCGGGATCTTAAACTGTGCCATCCTGAATGGAAGAGCGGTGTGTACTAAATTATATTAACTTTAGAATGATATGGGTACTCAATTAGGATTTTCTAATATTCATCACTTTTCTTTCTTTGCTATATTTTTATTGAGTGTCCAATCTACTTTCACTACCTAACCACTTATAATTGTCTTTCAATCTTACTATGAAATCAGGCAGTTAGAATCTATATGGCTGTTTTGTCAAGCAGAGGCCATTCCCATGAATCATTTAAAATTGCAATGATTGAAACATTAACTACAATTTTGGTTTTCTCACTTAGGTGACTATTGGATTGATCCAAACCAGGGATGCACCGTTGATGCTATCAAAGTCTTCTGTAACATGGAAAGTGGAGAGACATGTGTATATCCCAATCCATCTAAGATTCCCAAGAAGAATTGGTGGACAAGCAAGAGCAAGGACAAGAAACACATCTGGTTTGGAGAGACAATCAATGGTGGATTCCAAGTAAGTAACCTAATTTAAAATGATGATACCGATATGCTATATTTTGTACATGAATGTTTCCAAGACACATTTTGAAAAGTAAACATCTATAATGGAAATTATCAGTAAAGACATTTATTGAATATCTAATTCAGGGCTTAAAAGTAAAAGTTCTACGCTACTAGACTGGCTTTAGAAAAGTTACTAGCTACTGTAAGCCTCGAGAGTACATGGCATAGGAGTGAATTTCTACTCGCTAGGTTTAAATTTTCACTAGACTCGCCAAGGGCTAGTAGTGAGTGGAAATTTTTAGTCCTGATCTAGTCTTAAGTAAATAATAATTCTACTTTGTATGAAACTGTAATTTTCTGTTAGTCAACAACATCTTTTTCTCTGCCTTTTAGTTTAGCTATGGTGATGACAGCTCAGCTCCTAACACTGCTAGCATCCAGATGACATTCCTGCGTCTGCTGTCCACTGATGCATCCCAGAACATCACTTACCACTGCAAGAACAGCATTGCTTTCATGGATGAGGCTTCAGGCAACTTGAAGAAAGCTATTCTGCTCCAGGGAACCAATGATGTTGAAATCAGAGCTGAAGGCAATAGCAGATTTACATACAATGCCTTGGAAGATGGATGCAAGGTATATTATTGTTTAGTATATTGGTACACATGGAGAACGCACCCTTGGACTTTAAGCTATTTTGGACTTCAAATTCCAGAGTACTCTGCCACACAAAGTTCAAGGGAAATGTAGTTCAAGAAAAAGTCAAAAGGCAACTGTTGAACACTGCTAGTCTTAAATACTTTCTCAGTGTTAACATTACATTTGTAGTGCTTTTTAAAATATATAGATTTACATTGCAATTTATATAAGATTTACATATGCAAACATTAAGTTAACTTTGAAATTATATGGATGTAAAAATCATACAGGGTTTTAAGGAATCAGGAGTCATCCATGTAAATTATTATTTATAATTTAATCATTGAAATATGTATGGACTTTTTTTTACTTAAAACAACTATCTAAACTAATGATTGCATCTCATTTGTTTTATTTTAGAAACACACTGGCAAATGGGGCAAGACAGTTATTGAATACAGGACACAGAAAACCTCTCGCCTGCCAATCGTGGACATTGCACCTATGGACATTGGTGGAGCTGATCAGGAATTTGGCGTTGACATTGGCCCAGTTTGCTTCTTGTAAAAAACAAAAAAAATTTCAAATAAAATTAAATAAAAACCCTAAGGACCTGAGTACTTTCCAATCACTTTTAGGACTTCTGCACTGAATGGCTGAACCGACCCCAAATTTCCATTCATCCACATGCTTACATTTTGGACTTTTTATTTTGTATTACAAGGCCAGAACTGGGCAGACTGCGAAATAAAATCATGGTATTATTTATTTATTGTCTTCCTGTAAGACCTATGGGTCCGGTGAAGGTGTGAAACTAACTGGCATGTTTGAAGGCCCCCTAACTGATGTACGAAGTGCAGTTTAAAGCATCCCTCCTCCCCCCCACAGTGTATATCATCAGGGTTACAGTGTGTAATTGAATGAAATGGTGCTATTGTTGTAAATCAAGTTTGTATTTTATAACATCAACTGATATAAAAAAACATATTTTGGAAAGTACGAGTTGATCTGGGCTTTGTTCTTTTACATTTTTTATTTTATTATACTGTAGATAGAAGGGTTTTTGAAAAGTTCCAATGTTTCAGTTCGCCTGCCCCCCCCCCTTTTTTTTTTTTTATTATTTTTCTTTTCTTCCAATATGAGATGATGGAAGTTTAGGGCAAAATCTAAAACTTCCCAGGTTTAAGCTACCTCACACTAACAAACTAGAACAACACACAAAAAATATTGAAGCTGATTTAAACACACATTAGGAATTAACTGAAACAGTTACTGATGGAGAGATTGTGGGTTACGATCTCATGTATAGGTGTATATTATGCTTCAAAGGGGTTTATTTGCAAAAAAAATTTTTAGAAAAAAATGAATTTTAAAATTTAGGTCAATGTAGAGGAGTACGAATTTAGTTGAGTTGGAGAATCTTTCCTATTTTGACCTATCTTTTTCTAATTCAGGAAACCCCTCAGGAAAAACATAATAACTTAATAATGAGGACTACAACGATGAATGAATAGATGATGGCAACTTAAATGTTGCTATATCAAGTGACACAGCGTGGACAATGCCAAAGTATAGCAGCTAGAGTCTCGGTAAAATCAGTATTGTAGTAGGCAAGTGGATGATGTATACAAATCAGGTCAAAGCCATTCAAAATAAGTTCTTTTCCCAAATTATATTTTGAAGTATCCATTTCCAAACCTTATATTGAAATATCTCTGACCTTTACTTCATGAAGTTTCAAGAAACAAACAGGTAGGCATTTTGGCCAGAAGGAGTGGGGTTGAGGGGGGAGGGAAGGGGCATGCAAAAAAATACCCCAAAATCCACAATCGGATAAGAACTAAGAATATGTACTATTTTGTATATGTAAAATAGATTTTTTTTTTAATTATTATTTTGCAATACTGATCTTCAGCATGGTAGGCTAGTAAATATGCCCAACACGAACACTAATCTTTCTTGTGAAATAATTGTCTTACTGTATCTTTTTTTCTCATTTTCCAATCACTTCTACTTTTCTGCAATAAAGATAGAAAGCTTTTTCTATAAAAAAATAAAACACGTTTTGTTTGATTTTTTATGTGTATTAAATTTCATCCTACGATGTAATCTTTGTTGAATGATGTTAATCTTATCTGGGATATTTCATGAGAAAACGAAACAACACAAATAAAAGTTTTAATTAAAAAAAATAAATAACCCTAAGGCTTTTTATTTTCATTGATCCTCAGTGTGGAGAAAAAAAAATCAGATTTAAGTAAAGTGAATATTTTTGAATATCTTAGAACATATGGAACTACAATGGTCAAAACATTTTTAGGTACAACAATAGCTTAAGTAGAAAATGTTTGAATGCAATGCATAATACACAGACAAAAAAATACGTTTAATAAAAAGGAAAATAATGTTAGTGTGAATACTCTCAAGTTGTATCAATTCAAAGTGACAAGGTTTGTTCTCTAAACAGTAAATTGTGATGGGTTATAAACGGAAATGCATTTAGTTACATTATGTCAATAAAAGAAAAGCTGATATTTAGATATTTAATCTAGATTTTGCAAAGCAGCTCAATATTTACTGAATATGCCGCACCATAAAAATATGTAGTATAATGAGTTATGCAGAATGCTTACTAAATTATGTAAACAATATCATTGAGAATACTTTGCAGGGTAGGTGCTCTGGACAATTGTCTGCCTCTTGAGTTTAGCATCACTGAGCTAACCAAACCAGGAAGTAACAGGACCAGTTGTCTGATTGACAGCCAAAGGGTATATTGATGTTATTTGATAAAAGCGTTAATTCTCATTGAAATTAGCACTTTTATAAAATGAAAAAGGCAAGCTAAAGTGGTGTATGTCTTTGGATTCTTTTTTTTAAAGACACGATTAACTGTAAGAGGCAGGTAAAACCAAATGGAGATAAGGCAACAAATGCATGAGCCATATCCAGTGTGAGTTGAAGAGAATGTTTAGCAAAATACAATGAATGAAGCAGGAGACCTTTCTAAAGACAAAACACTGGTAAGTGACACTTAAGCCTACATCCATACATACCTAACTATTCATCATGTAGTCCACATAATGACATTTAGGTCATACACTAGGTCATATTATAACACTAAAATCTATGCTTCCCATACAAGAGACCTACTTACATAACCAATACTACAGGAACTTTCTTACAAAATCATGGTTACATGTCTGCTGTGAGGTATCAAACAATGGGAGTTGGAGTCCGGCAGCATACTATTACAACAGGCAGTCCTAATAGTTAGAGCAGTCCTTTTATATAGTGGTTAGGAAGTGTGTGTTCTCTTCTTAAACTGGAGATTTCAATATAAATTGTGACTTATAAATTAACCTGGATACACCCCTTGGCTGTCAAGCAGACAATCTGTCCTGTCACTTCCTGGTTTGGGAAGCTCAGTGAAGCTAAATTCAAGAGACTGCAATTACCCAGAGCACCTGCCTTACAAGGACTTCTCATTGAGCTGCTTTGGGAAGTCTGTGATTGGACGGCCAAGGAAAGTCTGGGCTGCAAATGAAGGGTAGGGCTTGCAAAGTCAGCAGACAAGAGATCTATAGCTTTTGTAAGCGGGTTTTAGCTGTACCATCAATGAGATTATGCATAATTAAATGCGTGCATGTTTTCATTGGGTGTATATCTATTATATATGTATATATATATATATGCTTTTTATTTGGGCAGTGGAGTTTCCCTTTGAGAGTCACTCAGCTATATCAAGGTTAGAGAAAGGAAAGAACAATACAAGTTATGTAAATTTTAAACATATTAGAAAGCAATGAAAAAACAGGTATGTATTGAGCATCATGCATGGGTATTCAGAAGCCTACAGTATGGGAAACCTGGGCACAGAAATATGGCTATAAATTTGGACTCCTGAGCCACAATGATATAACATAACCAGGTGTTCGCTTTTCACCTCTCAGTAAATCACCATCAAACCAGTCATTATCTGCCCAGAAACAGATGTGTGAAGACACTATAGATCTGGTTAGCACATACCACCCTTAAAAATATGACTATAAAGTGCATAGTAATGTAAAATATGTCTCAAATAATTTTTTATGAATACAATATAATCACTACAAAATCCCTGGAATAAAACAAATTCCAACCGGTCTCCCACCGGAAATACACGTGTGCATTTTTGTGTAATGTCATTAGAACAGATGATTTTGCCAGGATTAGTCATTTACGTAGTTTAAAAAAAAAAATCTCCACTTCGAAACACAAAACATTACCCTATATATCCTAGCACACCTATAAACCTAATTCTGTGATATTCTCAACACACACCACAGATTCACTTAGATATCCCTAACTTTTTTTTCAGACATTAATGTGGGACTTTCCTCAGGCACCAGAGTTTCCTCATTCAGACTCTGTGGTGTCGCTACCTCAACCTTAAGGTGCACTCTACTGGGAGACAAAAAAAATCTCTTTCACAGAATATCCATTACACCATTTTATTTATACACTAACTAAAAAAAATAACTCAATTTTATTTTATACTAGCCAGTAAATTTTCATTCCTGACTTTTTCTTATGGCAGCATCACTTATGGGTAGCTTCACCTCCAGCAGGACCAAGACAGGAAACAAACAATTAACTAGACTGTTCCATACCTCAGTCCAGTTGAACAGCTCAGATGAAACTCAGGACAGTTTTATCTGCAATGAGAACAAGCCAGGAAAAGAAATTTGCTGCTAAGTATAAAATAGAATTTTGCATTTTCTGGCTAATCATGGCAGCATCACTTATGTAATACCCAAGCAAAAAAGTGCGGGGGGTATTAATACGCACAATAATACACATAAAGATACTCAAGAATACTGCAAAATAATACCCAAAATGTATTACACAGAAGTAACGGCAGCAAAAACACTTCTGCCAAATTTAGTGGAAGAAGAGGCCACACACAGTTTGAAATGCTTAATGAAGGCAGTGGCGTACTAAGGGGGGGGCAGTCCGCCCCGGGTGCCACCAGGATGGGGGGTGCCATGACCAGCCCCGCCGCCCCCCCTCATGCTGCAGCCGCCCGAGCGGTCTGTAGAGAGCCTCAGGCGGCTGCAGCTTTGCCCGGGCGGTGCGTCCATGAGGGCGGACCGCACCGCCCGGGCGCAGCCTGAGGAGAGGGGCTGACAGGAGGGAGCGCTCAGCGCTCCCTCCTGTCACTCCCTCTGTAGTAGCGTGGCCGAGCCCAGTATAGTCGGCAGGTACAGGGAGCATCTGTCTATATCTGACAGTATAGTCCGGCCGGGTACAGGAAACAAAAGCTACCTGTACCCGCCGACTATACTGGGCTCGGCCACACTACAGCAAAGGTAGGGGGGAGGGGGGGATGAGAAAGAGAAAGGGGGGGTGAGAAAGAAGAGCAGAGGTGGGGTGAGAAAGAGAAAAGGAGGGGGGGGCGTGAGAAAGAGGAAGTGAGAAAGAGAAATGAGGGGTGAGGCGAGAAAGCAGCTGGGAAGAGAAAGCAGGGCGGGGCAGGAAAGAGGGGGGTGAGAAAGGAGGGGGAAGGAAGAGGGGGGTGAGAGAAAGAGAAAATGTGAGGGGGGGTGAGAGAGCAAGGAGGAGGAAGAGAAAGGAGGGGGGTGAGAAGGGGCGGGAGAAAGGAGGGGGAAGAGAAAGGATCGGGGAAGAGAAAAGGAGGTAAGGAGAAAGAGAAATGAGGGGGGTGAGAGAAGGAGAGAAAGAGAAAGGAGGGGGAGAGAAAGAGAAAGGAGGGGGGAAGAGAAATAGGGAGGGAGAGATATTAGGAGGGAGGGAGAGATATTAGGAGGGGGGGAAAGAGAAATTAGGGGGGGAGAGAAATTGAAATTAGGAGGGGGGGTAGAGAAATTAGGAGGGGGGAAGAGATATTAGGAGGGGGGAAAGAGAAATTAGGAGGGGGGGGTGAGAGAGAAAGGAGGGGTGTATATTAATTATGGGGTATGGATTAATTATGGGGGAGTATTAATTATGGGGGTGGTGTATATTAATTATAGGGGTGAATTAATTATGGGGGTGTATTAATTATAGGGGTGTATTAATTATGGGGGGTGTATTAATTATAGGGGTGGATTAATTATGGGGGATGTATTAATTATGGGGGTGTATTAATTATGGGGGGTGGATTAATTAAGGGGGGAATTAATTATGGGTAGTGGATTAATTAAGGCGGAGTGGATTAATTATGGGGGTGTATTAATTAAGTGGGGTGTATTAATTAAGGGGGGATGGATTAATTATGGGGGGTGGATTAATTAGTGTGGATTAATTATGGGGGAGTGGATTAATTAAGGGGGTGGCTTAATTAGTGTGGATTAATTAAGGGTGTGTGTATCAATTAAGGGGGGTGGATTAATTAAGGGTGTGTGGATAAATTAGTGTGGATTAATTAAGGGGTATGGATTAATTAAGGGGTATGGTTTAATTAAGGAGTGTGGATTAATTAAAGAAAACCTTTAACATTTTTTACAGGTTTTTTTTTGGGGGGCGGGGGGGTGCCAAGCACAGGATCAGCCCCGGGTGCCAAATGCTCTAGGTACACCCCTGAATGAAGGTCATAGGAGAAGACCAAGTGGCTGCCCTGCAGATGTCATCAGGAGAAATCTCTGCCCAATTAGTCCATGAATTCGCCAAAGATATAATAGAATATGACAATCTTCTCCGGAGGAGTCAGATCCTTTAGAGAGTAAACTTTCAAGATGATATTAGAAATCCATATTCACAAAGTAGAAAAAGATGCAGCTTCACCTTTTCTGCAGCCTGCAGGAATTATCAGGATTACAGAATGATCCAGCACGTAGAACTGTGTAACACAGAGGACTGATAGGTAACGTATACCGGACCTTAGAATGGCCGGACTAACGTACCAAAGAATAGTCAGGAATAGCCGAGGTCAAGGGAAACAGAAAGAGACACAACGATAAGGAAAAGCCAGGATTCAGGGATGCCAGAAAACAGGGAAGTCAAAAACAATGCCAAAGTCAAATAACCAGAATCAACAACACGCTCTGTACAACCACAAGGGAAACCACGACAGGGCACTGAGCAGGATGAGAATTGGGCCTAAATACCCCTCCTCTAGGTCTGATAGGCTGTAACCGGACTTTGACCCCAAAGGCAGTTACCAGATCTCATTTGCATAATTGCTGCTCAGCATTAACCCTTCTGTGGATTTGGTTGTTGCTCGGCACAACTTTTCCTGTGTGGACAGTAAATGTCATTAACCACA